GACCTTATTCTATAGACAGATGTTATTTATAATTGATAGAAACATTTGATGGAGTTAGTGGTCAGTTTGGTCAAGGTCACCAGTGCTAAAAATAGATTTTTGCACATTTGCTCATACAGCCTTTATTAAGTTTTATATTTGGTAGGAAGATAACTTGCATGGTAGTCATCCTTTTGATTGGGGTTGGGATCAGTGGGTCAAGGTCACTTGTGCTAAAAATAGGTTTTTACATTTTTGCCCATACAGCTTTTATTTATTGACAGATGTATTTCATATTTGGTAGGAAGAAAACTTGCATGGTATTCTTCCTTTGGATGAAGTAAGGGGTCAGTTGGGTCAAGGTCACCAGTGCTAAAAATAGATTTTTACACTTTTGCCCATACAGCCTTTATTTAATGACAGATGTATTTCATATTTGGTAGGAAGATAACTTGCATGAAGTTGAATATTTTTCAACTTGACAAGTCAGAGCAATGACTTGGCAACTTATATTTTTCACAATTACAAAATGCCATGACTTTGTCGAGCTATATAACTTTTTTTTACAATTTTTTGGCAATTTTTCTGTCCATAACTGAGTGAATGGGTAAACATTTTTGAAATTTTGCTACCGACAAGAATTTGAGCCGGGGGCATTTGTGTTTAACAAACACGTTCTTGATTTTTAGCTCACCTGAGCATGCTCAGGGTGAGCTTTTAGGATCGATGATTGTCCGTCGTCCGTTCACATTTAGTTGTTAACACTCTAGAGGTCACAATTTTGCCTCAATCATCATCAAACTTGATCAGGATGTTTGTCTAGGTGATAGCTCGAATGAGTTCGAACATGGGTCATCTCGGATGAAAAAGTAGGTCACCGGAGCTAAAAATAGGAAAACCTTGTTAACACTCTAGCGGTCACATTTTTGCATCAGTCATCATCAAACTTGATCAAAGTGCTTGTCTAGGTGATAGCTCGGATAAGTTTGAACATGGGTCATCTCAGATGAAAAACTAGGTCACAGGAGCTAAAAATAGAAAAACCTTGTTAACACTCTAGTGGTCACAATTTTGACTCAATTGTCATTAAACTTGGTCAGGAAACTTGTCTAGGTCATTGCTGGGAATAAATCGAACATGGGTCATCTCGGATGAAAAACTAGGTCACATGAGCTAAAAATAGAAAAATCTTGTTAACACTCTAGTGGCTACTGTTGTGATCCAAATATTCTGTTAATTGGTCTGAAAGTTTGTTTTGATGATTTCTAAGTCAAGTTCGAACATGGGTCATCTTGGATGAAAAACTAGGTCACACCTCCCAAATATGGCAAAACCTTGTTAACATTCTAGTGGTCACATTTTTTACTCAATTATCATCAAACTAGGTCAGAATGCTTGTCTAGGTTATTGCTTGGATGAGTTCGAAATCGCATGTGAAACTAGGTCACCGGAGCTAAAAATAGAAAAATCTTGTTAACACTCTAGTTGCTACTGTTTTGATACAAGTATCCTGGAAATTGGTCTGAAAGTTTGTTTTGATGATTTCTAGGTCAAGTTTGAAAATGTGTCACCTGGGTAAAAAACTAGGTCGCACTGCTCAAATATGGATAATCCTTGTTAACACTGTAGTGGTCACATTTTTGACTCACCTGTCATGAGACTTGGTCAGAATGCTTGTCTAGGTAATTGTTTGGATGAGTTTGATAAGTCAGGTGAGCGATCTAGGGCCATCATGGCCCTCTTGTTTTATATTACTCAGTATAAGTGCAGTAGTAGAGGGCTTCTGGGATTAATTTACCCCTAAAAAGCCTTCTGGGATGCACAATTCTCAGGTTCTTACATCCAAATGGATTCATAAAATATAACACCAGCATCATAAATCTTGAACATTCAAAACCCTTGCATTACACAAATGTTTAATTATATCTAAGATAAAACAGTTTTGGATTTGGACTGCTGAATTTTGTTGTTGGACACCTTGCATTATTGATTGGCCACCTAGTGTAAGTTGTTGGACCCCTTTTATTACAGATTCTGCATCTGGACCTTTGAAATTTGAAAATGATGTAAATCCCTGGGTGTGTTTGATATAGTTACCAAATAATGACAATAATATATATTATGTGCATCTGTGTGTGTGTGTGTGTGTGTATCTGTCTGTTTGTCTGTCTTTAACATTTCTGCCAAGAATTTTTACAGACCTGAGTGAACTGAAGAGAAAAAGTTTAAATGTCAATAACTAAGAATAATAATAAGCATGACAAGTTACTTAGTCCATGGTAAAATATGAAGGTGAAAATCATCCATTCTAAAAGTAGATCATTTTTAATGCCTAGGTTATTGTTCTCAAATTGAAAAAAAAAGTTTAAAGAATTGTTTTAGAAATTAAAAAGTGTTTTGGCTGTAAGTGTAATCACTATAAATCTTGGAAATATATAAATATTGTCAGTAACTTAGAGAGTTTAGTTTGGACTTGGTTGATCAATATTATGTCTTGTGTGTATTATTGTTATATGGTTTAAACAAAACCATTAGATTACTGTTGTACTTTCATTAGCAGTTGATAACTTACGGTTATAATTGCCTTGGCGACAAGTCTCCTAGTAGTGAATGTAACAAATTATCTGATTGGTCAGTTCTCTGTTCCATATGGATTCCATGATAAAGTCAATATTGTCTGTTAAAATGACAGGTTATAAAAGCATTATGTGACAAGTGGTCAGTATTGGAAATACAATACAGTGAACCATTCTGATTGTTAGAGACTGTGAGAACTGTCAGGAAATAAGATCTCATTGTAGGAAATTATGAGTAGTTATTATACTCAAATGACCGCTTTGGTAATTATATCTTTCTCTTTGATTCAATTTAACAAAAATTGTCTTCAATTTTAGAGTTTAAGAGGGAACAATTATGATACGAGTCTGTATCATAAAAGCTTTGAATTAGAACTTAATGATAAATATTTATTAAGTGGCCCTTATTATCAAACTATTTTTAATTTGATACTTATTGAAATTATTTTTAATTTGATACTTACATGTTATCATTTTAGATTTAAAGATCCCGTATGTTGTAATTAAAGATGAAACAACACTTAACGAAATTTTATATATGTATATAATTACTCTTTCCAAACATCCAAGAATATGTTAGATATGTACAGCAAATGTTTATTCGCATTGTAAGTAATGATTAAAATTTATATGCAATCATTTCTTAATGAAAAATTTGGCATAGACAATCAGAAAAATGTTTCTAATCACCTCCATTTATGTACTTGAAATGTAAATTCAGTAATATCTTTAAATTTTTGAACTTACAATATTGATAAATCTTCATTTGAGCAGCAGATTTATGATTTAAAACCATAAAAAAATTTATTAATATAGTCATCAAAATCGAGTTTCTGAGTGTGTACCTCATTGTCCATCATTTTACCTCATAGTCCATCATTTTACCTCATTGTCCTTCATTTTAACTCATTGTCCATCATTTTACCTCATTGTCCATCATTTTACCTCATTGAGATATTTTGCTCTGATTAAACCTTTTTGTTAAGCAGCTTCTTTTACAGCTTTTGTTTAGTAATGGCATTGGTTTATGTAGAAGTTTTTTGTCATTTAACAGAAATCAACATGTTGCCTTTTTATTTATCAAGTCTTAACAGGCTTTTCTTGATTTAAGTTCATGTCAACCTTTTTAGACTGACTTTGGTAAAAAAAAAGAGCTAGAATGTCTTTGATTCAATATAAATTGGGTCATGTCACTCATGTGTTTGCAAATCCTTTAATATCTCATCTGTGATAAACATGAAAAAAAATTGACTTTTACTAGGTATTAATTTTGTTAATCATTGATATATGATGTGTTTATTTAACCTTGACCAAGACTCACTTGAGATGATTTTGTTTATCTTTGATACAGACTTACTTGAGTTTATTTTGTTTATCTTTGATAAAGACTTACTTGAGTTTATTTTGTTTATCATTGATAAAGACTTACTTGAATGTATTTTGTTTATCTTTGATATAGACTTACTTGAGTTTATTTTGTTTATCTGTGATATAGACTTACTTGAGTTTATTTTTTATGCCCCCACAAAGTGGGAGCATATAGCGTTGCACTTGTCCGTCCGTCTGTCCGTCCGTACGTCTGTCCGTACGTCCCAAAATCTTGTGAACGCAACTCCTCTTAAACCGGATGGCAGATTTTGCTTAAACTTACAGGGATGAACAACCTTAATGTGTAGATGGTAGTAAAGGAAGGAATTTTTGCTGCGACCAAATTTAACAGAATTATGGCCCTTTATTGATTTTTTCACTATATACTATGTAGAAATTTTGTGAACGCAACTCCTCTTAAACCGGATGGCAGATTTTGCTTAAACTTAAAGGGATGAACAACCTTAATGTGTAGATGGTAGTAAAGGAAGGAATTTTTGCTGCGATCAAATTTAACAGAATTATGGCCCTTTGTTAATTTTTTCACTATATACTATGTAGAAATTTTGTGAATGCAACTCCTTTTAAACCGGATGGCAAATTTTGCTTAAACTTACAGGGAAGAACAACCTAAATGTGTAGATGGTAGTAAAGGAAGGAATTTTTGCCGCGACCTAATTTAACAGAATTATGGCCCTTTGTTGATTTTTAGTTTTCAACTTGTGGCACATGTAGTCTAAAAAATATTTGACCTAGAGTAATAAGATTGACAGAACAGTGGCGTGTGGGGGCATCCGTGTCCTATGGACACATTTCTAGTTTTATCTTTGATAAAGACTAACTTGAGTTTATATTGTTTATCTTTGATAAAGACTAACTTGAGTTTATTTTGTTTATCTTTGACAAAGGTTTACTTGAGTTTATTTTGTTTATCATTGATATAGACTTTTTTGAGTGTATTTTGTTTACCATTCACCATTATATTGCTTATTTGAGCCATAAGAAGAAAAATTTACTTTAAGCAAAGGAAAGAAGTTAAAATATGATAAACATTTGTTTTTGTTGTTGTTTTTTCAGGAGGTCACAAAGCGGCTTTCCTTACCTGCAGACATAAGATTACCTGGACAATTTCTAGCAAAACAGAGTCGAACTCCAGAAGGCCAGCTAAGTCGGCGGTCACGGAGAAAATCCTTGGTATAATAACTAGTTTTAACTGTGTAATAATGAGATTTTATTATCATTTTACATCAATTAATGATGATATGTTTAAGAAATAATGTATCCTAAACTGTGATTTTATTGCTCAATAACATTACTGTTTGGAGTTTGGATGTTGGGAATTATATCACCAGGGCGTAGCCCGAGTGATATAATGATGCTCATCCGAACGACAAACAGTGATGTTATCAAGCAATAAAATCATCGATTTGGATATATTATTTCGATTCTAACACGACATCAACAAATAAATGCTGCCGTACATAATAACAAGCTTAATTGCGCCTGATTTGTTTCCGTACTTATTGTCAGCTCGTCACATTTTTAGTGGGTACGTGACGTGTATAATGATTACGTCACATGTCTAAATATAGAACGTCAAACAGTGATTTTATAGCAAAATAACACACACTTTCGGTTCTTTTACGTTCAATAGGAAAAAATGCGGGTCGTGTTAGAATGATTAATAGTCAATAGAATAGCAAGAAGTACCCATTTTACTAGGAAATTACTGCAATAAAAGGAGTGTCACTTAACTAAAATTTAATAGAATGAAACATAGAACTTTAAACAATTTTTTAGAAGCTAATTATTTATCCACAGTAAAAAACTTTATAGAGAAAATTATACCCCTCCATAAACAAGGGTATTTTCCCCTGAAAGTACTGGTCAAAATTTGCTTATAGTTCTTTAAAACATCATAATGACAGTATAATTGCAATTTGCTGATATTTTAACTAGCTGCCTACAAAATTTCTTTGTGACAGCTGATCTTACGGTCATTTATCTCTCTAATCTGAGTCAGAAATCATTCAGAATTAGTTAAAAGTTAAAAATAGAAATATTTAAAACAGCTTCATTTATGTCTTTTTGTTGCTTTTCGGTTAAAAAACCAGAACAAAAGCAATTGATATATCTATAACCCAAATATTTATGGCACACAAAGTCCGAATACTTATTTTGGGACATACACTTAGGGGAATACAAGTTGGTATCTATATGTGATTGTTTTTGATAAATAGAGGATATTAAATGAGTGTAAGTTTAATACTGAATTTATTGCACGAGTTGAATAAAATTATATTATGCGAGCCTGTGGCGAGCATTATATTATTTTATTCAACGAGTGCAATGAATTCAGTATTGAACTTACACGAATTTAATATTCTATTTATCACATACCAAAAATAAAGACCGTTTAAAGTGAAATAAGAGTTATTTTACATTGACGCGCCTATAGTATAACCTTAACATTTAGCGCGTCTTTACACTATGTTTGTATAACGCTAATGACGTCGCGTCAAAATATATGCACGGCCTTGCAATACCATATTTACGGAGTCGCAAAATCGGCACGGGTGTGTGATAAATATATGTAGGAAACTTATTGCTACATTTTCTTTTAAAATTATTTGTTAATGTTAATTTTAAATCACATTGAAATTTTACTATTTCAGTCTGAAATTGGGTTTGGCAAGATAGAATCATACACAAAACTAGATAAACTGGGTGAGGTAAGTGATATCAAACATGTAAAATGGTTTTAAAGCTAGTTTTAGAAGTCCACTGAACTTTATAAATATGTATAGCATGGGCAGTTTACATATTTATTGTAAGGAATATTGTTAAAGATTAATTCCTATTTATTGTTAGGAATATTGAAAAATATTCATTCCTATTTATTGTTAGGAATATTGAAAAAGATTAATTCCTTTTTATGGTAAGGAATATTGAAAAAGATTTATTCCTATTTATTGTTAGGAATATTGAAAAAGATTAAATCCTATTTATTGTAGTATTGAAAAGATCATTTCCTATTTATTGTTAGGAATATTGAAAAAGATTGTTTCCAAAACACATGTACAAAAGCAGTATGTTTGTTTATTACTTTAAGGGTGAATTGGGCATGCACATAATCATTGCTTAACAGTGAAATGATACTGTTTTGTTATGTTATATTCTGTTTACATACAATGTTCATGTGTGATAAATAACAGACACATGCTATGTTACAATTCTTGAGAATCAACCATAACATCATGGAAACAATATTATTTCATTATTTATAAATTATAAATTCTGTAAAAAAATAACATTATACATAACTTTATACCTTTTAAAGGGTATATCTAAATAAGTATTTCTTAAATGAAAAGCATACAACATACACCAAGCTTTTCTTATTTTTACATGGTATTGTTCATGATCTTGGTTATGTAAATATATAAAATAACCATGCTAGAACCGTTGGATTGTTATCTGTTTGAAGGATTGTGATGATAATAATATGTTATAAGTAGCAAGCCTTTCTGTGCTGTTTGATTCAGACCTTTCACAGTTGGGCACTCAACTATTTTGGATTCTTAAGTCCCCTTAAGTTAACAATGACGTGTTTCAAATTCAAACCAAGAAAATTTTTATTCAAGCAGTCAAAAAAGGATTATCTGATCCCCTTGCAAAAAATCAGTAAGATTGGACATTCTCTTCATCAACCTTGGTAACTTTTAAACTAGCATAGAAAGTTTTGTTGTTTCTGAAAGTTATGAGGAGTTATTTATGATAGGTTTATTGTTATTGTTAAGCTCACATTCTGTTTATTATGATCTCTTTCAATGTGGGATTGGTTAAATGACGTTTTTGGTCTGAAAATGACATAAACATACCATTTAAACAAAACTATACATGTGTATGACTAATACATAATGTCTATGCATACTCTGGTGATCATTCCCAACAAACTTGAGTTGCAAGCTAAATCTAGACCTATCTGTCCAAAGATGCATGTATATTTGGGAAGCTATTATATTGTTCTGTTGGTAAAGATAACTACATCTTTGATTTGAGGGTAAAGGGAAGTCTTAACTCTGTTAATAAGCAAGGGAAAGTCGGAACATTCTAATGTTTGAAAAAACAAACTTAACAAATACTTTCTATTATGGGCATGGGAAAGCCTTATAACATGTTCTGTTGGCAAGGGAAAGCATTTAATAATGGACAAGGAAAACATTTTATTTTGGTTTGTGCACAAGGGCAAGCATTGTACTGTGGACAATGAGCCTTAACTCTGTTCTTTTGGTAAAAGAAAAGCCATAACTGTGGACAATTGAGAGAACAGAGTTACTTTATCCTGTTGTCAAAAAGAAGTGTTGGCTAGGAACAGCTTTGACTTCATTATTTTGGCTTGGAAAAAACATTTGTAAAGGAAAGCATAAATATTTTTGTTTTCTTTGCTATCCTGTGTTCTAATAATCTTGAACAAAGTAATTTGTAGTTTGCAAGTTATTTGTTTCTTCTCCACATAAATCAATGTAAGTAATAATAGATTGAACTGTTGCTAAGGTATTGATGTGTATGACAGTATATTTACCAACAACCCTGTTCAAGACTTGTCAGTAGCAGATGTAATAGTTTCTAATTAACTAAGTAATGACGTATGATAATCTATGACATAGACTAAATTAACACAAAGACCTATTTACCATTGACTTTATGTGACTTTATGATTTATTGACAACCTGTCATTAACATTTTATGCCTTGGTATTATACCATTGTTGTAATCTGTTCCATTAACAGGAGAAATAATGATTTCTTACATAAAATGAAAAAACATCAATTTGTTTGCACTCACAAGAAGTTGACATTTTAGCTCCACTTTCAGTCTGTGTTGTTGTTGACCTTTTTAAGGTTAATCTCTCCCTGAGACCTGGTATTCGTGTTCATCAGCAAAAGAAAACTCATCCTAGAATTCAGATTTGCAAAGTCACACCCTTTTCTTGACTTACTATGTTCTTTTAACCTTATTGTTTATATGTCCATGTCTCAAAAGATATTCAAATATCAAAAATATTCACTCCTAACTTAGAATACCATTTTATTATAAAAAAAAATGGAATGCATTTCTAAAGGCTAAAAAAAAACTGAAAGTTATTTTGCTCAGAATTTTCTTTTTCTTGACAGAAATATGCCTCATTTCCTATTTTGTCTTCAACTACTGAAAACAGTAGTCTCCTCCAAAACAACTAGGACTAGAGCTATGATATTTAGCATGAAATATTGTCTTGTGGACATCTACCAAGATTGTTCTAATTAAAGCCCTGTGTTAAAATTGGCTCTGACCTGGGAGTCATGAGTTTTCCATATATTTACATAAAATATACAAAACTAAAGGGAGACAGCTTAGATATTTGGCAAGAAACAGGTGGCAAGTTTTTTTTACACATTGTCTTTATTCAGAGTTAGTCCTTATACAAGAGAGTTTCTTGATGAAGGTCAATTGTTGATGGAACTTGTAGACATGAATAAATTATTGTAAACCTGTCTTGATGTTGACTTGTATTACTCTTACACCTCTCTTATACCGTTGAAGGATAGTGCTGGTAATAGATGTATTTGAAAGTGTTTAATTTTAAATTTGAAACTAAGTATCAATAGGTGAGGGGAACAGTCTTTTCAGGAATTCATTCTAGTTTTGGTTAAATATCTAACTTGAATTTAGATCTGAGTGCTTGAGTAAAGTAACTAACAGTAAATTATAAGTCTGGAAAGTAAAACTATCTACAGACTGGTGGACTTTATATTGGTATTGCCCTTAGCGCTGATAGATTAAATACATTATTATGTGATAATTACTTTTGTAGATTATATGTTTATATACATTTATATATTATTAATTCTGTCCTGAATTAGTGATGTATGAATAGATATTATTGTGTTGTTGTCCAGTCATTTGCAAGGTTATTTATAGTCCATTTCTAGAATAATAAACTTATGAAACATTCATAATGGGTTTTACAATTTTGAAATTAAAACTTTGGGTTTAAATGCTGTGGGCTAATACTGAGGATTCAGGCTAATCCCCTTTTGTTTTGTGTTGTGTGAACTTACATTCTTTTTGTTTTTACTGTTAAACATGTCGGGGGCTGTAGACTTGTTTCTTGTGAGGAAGTTGTCCAGTTAAGTCATAGAAGGTTTGTGGATCTACTCGTGTTTGAGATAATTCATTGACACCTGATGTATTTTTCCTCCAGCAGTAAAATGGCTTCATTGACACCTGATATATGGTTATTTCAATGTCTGTATGAGCTTTAAGTATCTGCCAGGAGAGCATTGAAAATAAAAGTTAAAATAAGAAAATGATGACATTGTTTGATTGAGTCTGTTCATGAGAGATAGTAGAAATAACCACATCAAGCATCATAATGTATCATATTTTCTCATTTGTATTTTATATGCCAGGACCTGTTTGTGTTTTAAGTGCCAGAACCCATTTGAATTTTAAATGCCCAGACCTATTTGTATTTTAAGTGCCAGGACCTATTTGTATTTAAGTGCCTGGACCTAATTGTATTTAAGTGCCAGGACCTATTTGTATTTAAGTGCCAGGACCTATTTGTATTTAAGTGTCAGAACCAATTTGTATTTTAAGTGCCAGGACCTAATTGTATTTAAGTGCCAGGACCTATTTGTATTTAAGTGCCAGGACATAATTGTATTTAAGTGCCAGGACCTATTTGTATTTAAGTGCCAGGACCTATTTGTATTTAAGTATCAGAACCAATTTGTATTTAAGTGCCAGTAACCATTTCTGTTTTGTAAGTGTAAGGAATAATTTCTTTGTTTAGATGCAAGGAAAACTTTCTAGGGCTGTGCATTGCCAGTTTTTTCTGTCACGATACATATCACGATATTTGTTTTTCAAAACGATGCGATTCACGATATGTATTGCATACTTTGAAGAAATGCGATGCATATTGCGATTCTTATGTTGCGATGTGATACGTATCACGATACTGACTTTCAGACTTAGTATATACAAATTTGGCCATTTGTTTACAGCATAATTACGAATATAATATAAAACTATTACAATAACAAAAAAATAAACTCTTTAACTTGGGTTTCCGATTTTGATCTTTCAAGAATTTACTTTTCTGATTACTTATTGTTAATTATACCATACAACAAATTGATATCTACTATTCTAACACTAAAGTCCACTATTGTAAATATGGCAGTTTAACAATTTCAGTCTAACAAAACACCACTAAAGATTTTTATTGTGAAAAAATAGTAACAAGTGATTTTGAAGAGGCATAGATCTCTTATTATGTTTTTATTATGAACACCAGCCCATTAATATGGAATTGATCAAACTTGGTTAGTTACCGTGAAATGATTGCGCCGTTTAATGATTGCAGACATGGGGAAACGAGATGACAACGATGATATGATAATAGTGGCGCTTGTTCATTGTTTTCATCTGAGCTATTTTTCTTTCTTCAGTCTTTCCAAAAATATGTTTGTCCTTACATTCCTAGAAGATATTGATAGTGTATTGCGATACTTTCCCGCTATATCGATACATCGGGAGGTGAAATATGTATTGCATCGCAATATATTGGAATTTGTAATTTCATTACGATGCATACATGGAGGACAGGGAAGATCGCAGTGCATCGATGAATCGATGAATCGTTACACCTCTAATACTTTCTATTAAAGGGCAATGATTCATTTCTGTTTAAAAGTCATTGCAAAAGTCATAAACATTAAAATGTTGCCATCCTTTATTCTATATAAAACTTATGAATTAGCAAGTAAATAATTGTTTGTTTCCTGGAGGTACAATATCAGTCCATGTAAAAATGAAAATAACAATGTGAGTCATAATTTTCAAAGGAAATTTTTTCAGTTTAATAAATTTTGTTTAAGCATAAATTCTGAAAAAAAATAAACACAGATCAAGTTGCACTTGGATTTATGACTTGCATCTTACTGTTCCATAAAGGATAATAGCAGTATGGAAAAACATATAACAAAAAATCAAGCTTTCAACTATTTTGATACTTCTATATGCCTCTGCTAGTTTATTGAGTGCCAACATTTTGTCAAGAGATCTAGATATTAGATATTGGTACAGTGCAAGTTTCTTATCTGACCAAACTGTATACTTTTGGTAGCTTAAGTTTTTGAATTTTGCTAATGAAATTCCTAACATTTTTGAAATTCAAGGGGGCATGAATTCATTTTACATATTCAGTAGTAAATCAGGGTTTTTTTTTCAACAAGGCACTAGTTCACTATAAAGTGCCAGGCTGTTAAATTGAGAAAGATTGTAATTCAGGTTAGCTAATTATCCCCCGCCGATGGAATCGGGAGGGGGATATAGTTTTGGCGTTGTCCGTCCGTCCATCCGTCCGTCCGTCCTTCCGTCCGTCCGTCCGTCCATCCGTCCGTCCGAATTTCGTTTCCGGAGTAGTTCTCTGCAACTAATGGCTGGAATTCAACGAAACTTTATGGAATGTTGATCAAGCATGTGAAGTTGTGCACCTGGGTATTTTCGTCTGGATATTTTTAGTATTTTTAGAGTTATTGCCCTTGACATAGTAAAACGTCCGAATTTCGTTTCCGGAGTAGTTCTCTGCAACTAATGGCTGGAATTCAACGAAACTTTATGGGAATGTTCATCAGCATGTGAAGTTGTGCACCTGGGTATTTTCTTCTGGAATATTTTTAGTATTTTTTAGAGTTATTGCCCTTGACTTAGTAAAATTTTGTAATTTTCAACTTGTGTCGCATGTAACTCAAAAAGTATTTGACCTAGAGTCATGAAACTTTACAGGAATGTTGATCAGTATGTGTAGTGTGTGTACCTGGGTATTTTCTTCTGGATATTTTTAGCATTTTTAGAGTTTATTGCCCTTGACTTAGTAAAATTTTGTAATTTTCAACTTGTGTCGCATGTAACTCAAAAGTGTTTGACCTAGAGTCATGAAACTTTACAGGAATGTTGATCAGTATGTGTAGTTGTGCACCTGGGTATTTTCGTCCGGATATTTTTACTATTTTTAGAGTTATTGCCCTTGACTCAGTAAAATTTTTGCAATTTTTCAAACTTGTGTCACATGTAACTCAAAAAAGTATTTGACCTAAAGTCATGATACTTTACAGGAATGTTGATCAGCATGTGGTAGTTGTGCACCTGGTATTTTCGTCTGGATTTATTTAGTATTTTTAGAGTTTTTGCCCTTGACTTAGAAACATGATGTTTGCAATTTTCAAACATGTGTCGCATGTTAACTCAAAAAGGATTTGACATAGAGTCATTTAACCTTATTGGAAAGTTCCTTCAGCATATTTAGTTTGTTCCTGGGGTTTCGCTTGTGGATTTATCCAGTATTTGTAGAGTTATTTCCCTTGACTTAGTAAAAACTGTTTCATTATGTTGTTATTTGATCCTTGAGTGCTTGAGTTAGAATCGACCAACTTTTACAGGAATAATGATCAACATCACTAAAGTTACGAATAATGAAGTCTGGAGATTAAGATGTTTTTACATCTAGGTGAGCTATTGTGATCTTCCCCACCGTCCGTCGTCATGCGTCGTCAGCAATTTCTTTAAATAACATCTCTTCAGAAACAAATGACTGCACAGCAACCAAACTTTACAGGAATGATCCTAGGGTGGTCCCCTGCCAAAGTTGATCAAATGGTTCCGGTCTGTTGCATAGCCTTATGTCTTCAGTTGTTGTGTTATAATAACCAGTACTCGGCGGGGGATATAAATTCAACGAATTTGCTTGTTTTTTATTGAACTATTAAGTTTAGTTTCCTGATTTTTTTGTTTTATTGAAATGCAAGTCATAACAAAAGTGGGTTCATCTTCCAGTAATTTTGTACTAATACTTAAGTTGTGTGGTAATTGGATATTTTTGTTTGTAACTTATAGAGCATATATATATATATCACCTACAAAAGATATATAATAAGACATTGATGTTTTTGGTATTACAGGGTACATATGCAACAGTGTTCAAAGGTAAAAGTAGACTAACAGACAATCTGGTGGCCCTTAAAGAGATTCGTCTAGAGCATGAAGAAGGTGCCCCTTGTACAGCCATTAGAGAAGGTAATATTCTGTATTATTTAATATAACACCACTCAGTCAATTTACCTGATGAATAATCTGTGACCTATAAAGTTATACAATTTACAGTCCGTAAATAAATCTCACACATCCATTAGAGAAGGTACCTTTATAATTAGTGAAGATAATTAACTATATAGTCTATTAAATATGGCACACTGCTTGGTGGATTCAGTGGCATAGACTGTATAACTTTTTAAATCACAATAAAACTGTTATTATATAGGAGTTTATCAAATCGGAATGGGTATATGTACCACTCCTTGTATGCCAAACAATATTTGACATACATGTTTTATATATTTTTCAGTGTCATTACTCAGGGAGCTAAAGCATGCAAATATTGTCACTTTACATGATATTGTACACACAGAAAAGTCTCTCACTCTAGTCTTTGAATATTTGGTAAGTATTTTTGTTCTAGTGCTATCAGTTTTAAGAGCAATGTGACTCTCAATGATTCTCACACCATGAAGGACATGTGATGACTATAGTTTTACTTGTAGTGGTAGACCTGAGATGTCTTTCCTTATACCATTCATATATACTATAACAAATGACCTGAATGCTAGCTATACAAGAGAAAGCCATGATTCTGAGCAGGATTCAAACCCATAGAGGCAAATGATTGAGTCAGCAGTGTAAATCACTCAGGCCAATTTGCCAAATGTTGCTAAAATTCACCATGTTACGTGATATCAAGATCAAATAATCCAGATCTATATAGATATATAACTTTAAGAAAAATGTAATTAAGAAAATATAAGAAATTTTTAATATAATATTCTAGATTGTACCATATTTTGGCCTACCTGTGTCCAACCATAAAATCCAAATAAATATATAAATACATGTTTGTCATTCTGAATGAAGAAAGTATATGGCACAATTTGCATGAAGATAGTACATGGCACAATTTTTCACAGAATATTTTAGCTTTATGATCAGCTTTTAGCAGACTTAACTGATTAGATCATACTGCAGTTAAGAAGTACATTTTTGTGTTAAAATTTAGTGTCAGATTTGTATGAAACGATCATGTCTTTTGTTGAAATATTGGATCTTTTCATATATTGCTGTAGTAAAATAGCATTACTACCATTAACCAGCTGGGATCAAAATCTATCAGCCTTTGCCATTAGTGTAGAGCCAGGCCAGCCTGAACATTTGTAGAGTCTGTCCAGGCTTTATTCTGGTGGTAGCTCAAATATTGAAATCCTAAATTTGCAATTGGCTGTTTCAATTTAAAACTTGGCATGTAGAAATTTGAACCAGATGCCTATTATTATATGACGTAAGACTTTAGACCTTCATCTGATTTTCATGAAAATAAAATCAACTGACATATTATTGAATTATTTAATTTCAAAGTAACAAATAAAATAACCTGTCTAAAATATTTCACTTCAATTTGTTTACTGGTAACAGTGAATTGACTTCTGAATTGAATTCTGTAATCTAGTTGTCTATCACACTGTCATGTGTTAAAGTTTATGAACATATACATGTATGTATGTAGTGACTGGCTCTAGTGTAATCAATTTAGGGGTAGTCAGAAATATTTAGTGAATATTTTTACAAAAATCATGACCACTTCATTAATGTACATTTACAAAATACTGCATGTGTAATCATGGTATATTTGGATATTTTGATTTGTAATCACAGACAACAACAGCAGCACTAACCCATTCTATCTATAACAAGGAGTTTCTATATGCTATAATGTACCATGATTCCATGATTTACTTTCATGTCATTTAATCAAAGAGAAGTAAAACACCTTGTTTAAGAATGAGAAATGACTTAAAGAAAATATCTGTATATGTACATGGTACTAATTGGTCAGTTTGTTTCAGGAAAAAGATCTCAAACAGTATATGGATGATTGTGGAAATATCATGAGTATGACCAATGTAAAGGTATGTAAAACATCTCTGATGATTCCTTACAACTAAATATACATATATCATATATATATATATATCACTACATATATCAGTACATATATATATCAGTACATATATATATCACTACATATGCATTGAAAACAACAGAAATTAGTTATTTGACATGAAGCATAGAGTTTAAATGACTATTGGAGAGACACATCATTATCACAGTTATTCTCTAATCAGCATAAAAAATTGGTCTAATTTGTGAAGCTGGCTTTGAGTAACAGCAGGTATGTTAGACAGTTGTGAGGTATATAATATGTTTTAGCCGAAACCATTTAGCTCTGACCCCATATAACTCGGTCTACATGTGTCTTGGGAAATGTGGAAAATGACTCATTTAAGACATTGTCTTTTAAAAAATCATTAAAATACCGTAGTCCATGACTCTTTTCTAGTTTTACAGCTAAACGACATGAGCTATATAGATATATACCAAAACTGTGGTTCATGTACATTACCACAATTTCATTAAATGCTGCTTATATTGTGAAATTAATTTGAACCTAATAGCAAGGTAAATTATTATCATGGGAATGTTAAGTAAATAATTAAAGGTGAAAAGTTTAACTTCATGTTTGTGACAGATAAAGTTATTGGCTGAACTTTCATTATTTTCACAGCTTTTACATCATTAAAGGTTAGGTCCTTGTTCCGAGTTTAGAAACTTAAGTATAAGGTATTATTAATGGGAATTTATTCATTGTCTTCACAGGAATGTTCCTTTGGTGGTCACCTTTAAAAATTGTTCAAAGAATTTAATTCCATGCAGAACTCTGGTTGCCATGGCAACCAAAAGAAAAAACTTTAAATATCTTCTTTTAAAAAACCCAAAGAGCTAGAGCTTAGATATTTGGCATGAAACATCTTCTAGTGAGTGTCTACCAAGTTTGTTCAAATAAAAGCCCTGGGGTCAAAATTGGCCCCGCCCCTGGGGGTCATTGATTTTCCCTATATGCATATAGTAAAAACTTAAAAAATCTTCTTTTAAAGAACCCAAAGAGCTAGAGCTGAGATATTAAGCATGAAACATCTTCTAGTGAGTGTCTACCAAGTTTGTTCAAATTAAAGCCCTGGGGTCAAAATTGGCCCCGCCCCGGGGGTCATTGATTTTCCCTATATGCATATAGTAAAAACTTAAAAAATCTTCTTTTAAAGAACCATAAGAGCTAGAGCTTAGATATTTGGCATGAAACATCTTCTATGGAATGTCTACCAAGTTTGTTCAAATAAAAGCCCTGGGGTCAAAATTGACCCTGCCCCAGGGGGTCATAGATTTTCCCTATATGCATATAGTAAAAACTTAAAAAAATTTCTTTTAAAGAACCCAAAGAGCTAGAGCTTAGATATTAAGCATGAAACATCTTCTAGTGAGTGTCTACCAAGTTTGTTCAAATTAAAGCCCTGGGGTCAAAATTGGCCCCGCCCCGGGGGTCATTGATTTTCCCTATATGCATATGGTAAAAACTTAAAAAATCTTCTTTTAAAGAACCATAAGAGCTAGAGCTTAGATATTTGGCATGAAACATCTTCTAATGAATGTCTACCAAGTTTGTTCAAATAAAATCCCTGGGGTCAAAATTGACCCTGCCCCAGGGGGTCATAGGTTTTCCCTATATGCATATAGTAAAAACTTAAAAAATCTTCTTTTAAAGAACCCAAAGAGCTAGAGCTAAGATATTTAGCATGAAACATCTTCTAATGAGTGTCTACCAAGTTTGTTCAAATAAAAGCTCTGGGGTCAAAATTGGCCCCGCCCCAGGGGTCATTGATTTTCCCTATATGCATATAGTAAAAACTTAAAAAATCTTCTTTTAAAGAACTCAAAGAGCTAGAGCTAAGATATTTAGCATGAAACATGTTCTAATGGGTGTCTACCAAGTATGTTCAAATAAAAGCCCTGGGGTCAAAACTGGCCCCACCCGGGGGGGGGGGTCATTGATTTTCCTTATATGTGTATAGCAAAAACTTAAAAATCTTCTTTGGAAAAACCCAAATAGCTAGAGTTTAGATATTATGCATGAAACATCTTCAAGTAAATATCTACAAAGTTTGTTAAAATAAACGCCCGGGGGTCAAAACTGGCCCTGCCCCAGGGGTGACATTGTTTTTAACTATATGTGTATAGTAAAAACTTTAAAAATCTTCTTTTAAAAAAGCCAATGAGCTAGAACTTAGATGTTTAGCATGAAACATCTTTTTATGGGTGTCTACCAAGTCTGTTCAAATAAACAAATAAAAGCCCTTGGGTAAAAATTGGCCCGGGGGTGGGGGGCCTATATACAGGTGAGCAACCTCAGGGCCATCATGGCCCTCTTGTTGCTAATTTGTGGTATCATGAATTTAACAATGAAAAATGTCTCTAATATATTAAATTTTATTTCTCCAATTTTATTTATAGAACCTAATCTGAAAAGTTGAAAACATATCTGAAGAAATATTGTACTGGTGCTGATGACATTTTGTCTGTCAGTAAAATGACCTTTCATGTCTTTTAATAAAGAATGAAAATTTTCGAGTTGTTGATAATTTTTAAACTTATTTCATATGTCAATGTATAGATAATAAATATGATATTATCTGCAGATATTTTTGTACCAATTATTGCGAGGGTTGGCATATTGTCATAAACTTCATTATTTATTGGCAGATATTTTGTACCAATTGCTCATTATTTTATCTGCAGATATTTTTGTACCAATTGTTGCGAGGGTTAGCATATTGTCATAAACATTATGATTTTATCTGCAGATATTTTTGTACCAATTGTTGCGAGGGTTAGCATATTGTCATAAACATTATGATTTTATCTGCAGATATTTTTGTACCAATTGTTGCGAGGATTCGCATATTGTCATAAACGCCATTATTTTATCTGCAGATATTTTTGTACCAATTGTTGCGAGGGTTAGCATATTGTCATAAACATTATGATTTTATCTGCAGATATTTTTGTACCAATTATTGCGAGGGTTGGCATATTGTCATAAACGTTATGATTTTATCTGCAGATATTTTTGTACCAATTGTTGCGAGGGTTGGCATATTGTCATAAACATCATTATTTTATCTGCAGATATTTTTGTACCAATTATTGCGAGGGTTGGCATATTGTCATAAACGTCAGGTGCTACATAGAGATTTAAAACCTCAAAACCTTCTCATTAATGAACGTGGGGAACTCAAATTAGCTGACTTTGGTAAGTATTATCTTCTTTATTTTGTAAAAAAAGCATCCTGATTACATGGGTATTTATTGAATTATCTCTCACATATACTTTGTTTCAGCAATTATACACATGAGTACTGGTAATTGTCCAAATGATGTGACTTGTAACTTTATTTATATTATATGAATCTTACACTGGCTGCCAGTACAGACCGGAATATCTAGCTTGAGGGTAACTGTTTACAGCGGTAATGAGGCTCTGCCGAGTTTCCGCTAAACAGTAAACCGAGAGCTAGATATTCCCGTCTGTACCAACAGCCGGTGTTTGATTCTTTTTCTTGCATATTACATGTCAATTATTTTCGGAACTGAAATTATAAAAACTGATATTCTCATTATGCACTTTTTTCTTATAGTAGCTTATGAACATACAACTTCATTCATAACGGAAAAAATGACGTCATCCTCAGAACGCGATTCATTCATATAGGGCGCGCGTCAATGACGTCATTTAAAGCACGCGAACTTGTCTTACATGGGGGGGGTGTAAGACAGGGTTTTCTAGCACCGGTGTAAACGGTAGATAATCTTGTCTGAGATGCAAGAAATATTCAGATACCCTGTCAACAAATAAACAAACCTGATGGATATGCATTGATCATTGGCAATACTATTCAGTAACCTAAAATTGTATCAATAATGATTACATACACCATTCACATAGAGAAGCAAAATGAAGGGAAAACACTATAGAACTTATTTGAATCCTTTCCAGCACAAGCAATGTGGCTTATACTACTTTTATTACGACTTAAACCAGTGCCAGGGGGCGTGAGATGTTGAACTTTTACATTTGCTCTCATGAACAGGCTCAGTCACACTAAACTACAGTCTTCATAATTTTGTTGTTTTGAGTGCTTTTGAGGTATCTGTCCTTTTCAAGATTTTCTAACAGGAAATTATGTTAAATTAGTTGACGGAAGTTTTTCATGTATTTATCATGTGTTAATATATTGTTTCTACATTTCTGATTGTAGGTTTAGCAAGAGCCAAGTCTATACCAACAAAAACATATTCCAATGAAGTGGTCACTTTATGGTTAGTTTACTTAGTTAGTTTATACCAATTTATTTTAGTTCAATTGTGATGGAACCTATAAGCTTATTGAAACACTCCTGAATCCATTCCTGATACCAACCAGTTCTAAGCAATGAATGTAAAATTTCTTGGTCTTGCCCCTGACAGGATTTGAACCCAGTGGTCAGCAATCCTTAGATTACTAGTTTGACCTGTTATTTACACGGCCATGTCGCCACAGTTTACTTAGTTGATAGCACTGATACTTTCAGCTGTAAACCAAAGAAAGTTAACTGTCATATTTTATCTGTTACAAATGTTATACTTGTTGAAGATATTTTTGCTGAAGAAATCGACTCAACAAACTTGAAAATTGGGGCTTCCTGGTAATGATTTATCAGGAAGGTCTTGTTTTACAAGCTTTATCATTTTGAATCACATAACTCTAAAAATAAAATAGTCAAGATAAATATTTCACAGTATAGTGTGATAATATATGTTGATTTCAAGTAATGTATAATTTACAGGTATCGGCCACCAGATGTCTTATTGGGCTCCACAGAATACGGCACCCCTATTGATATGTGGTAAATATTCTGTATTTATTTTAGTTCACTTGAGCACAACGCTCAGGAACTTTTTAAACATACATTACAATATAAATGTGTGTAAAATAATAGAAACATTCTATGTTACACTTCTTTGAAGAATCAACTATAAAATTATATATTTTATAGGAATATTTTAGGAATGACTTAATAATGAAATTATGTCCATGTGAACCATGTCCTTAGGTGAACAATTAAGGGTCATCATGGCCCTCTTGTTTTATTTATGCTTTATATAACACCAACATTTGTTAATTTGAGATGCTGAATGGAAAGTGTGCCAAATATTTTCAGATAAGTTTTGTAAAAATGTTGCCGCATATTTTCAGAAATAAAATGTTTATGTAAATAATGCCTAAATGCGTTCTTCTTTTCACAGGGGTGTTGGGTGCATATTTTACGAGATGGCATGTGGGCGGCCATTATTTCCAGGGTCAACGGTAGAGGATGAATTGCATTTAATATTCAAGACTTTAGGGACACCAGATGATAGTATATATCCGGGACTATCTAGTAATGACGAATATTTAACATATAATATACCAGTCTACTCAGCAGAACCTTTAATAAATATAGCACCAAGGTAAAAATTACTCTAAAATCTTGATTAACGTCTAACTACATGTAGCTAAAATGTTGGTTTCAGTCTGTGCCTGAAGTATTGAACAGATGTTGATCTCAGATCTTATTCTACCATTAAAGCTAGAAAATTGCTTCATACCTAATGTGTCATTGTGTCATAAAAACCTGTCTAAATCAAAGATTAAATTTGTTCTGTAAATAACACAGCAGATGTGTTTATTATTATCCATGTCATTGTGGGTTTATGACGGAACGATTTGTGATTGATAAAGTTTTATGATAGGAAAATGTTTGTGTTTGAACTGGTCTGTGGCATTAAGGTAAGTGACAAAGTTTAATGACAAGAAGTATTTTTACTAAGGGATTTTGACAAATGTTTGTGACAAAATGGTTTATGACAAAAAAGGTTTATGACAAAAATATTTATGTGCACTACAAACATATTGATATTTGTTTTTATTTTATTTTACAGACTGGATGGGGATGGTCTGGATTTACTAGCAAAGTTGTTACAAGTATGTTTTTTTTTCCTTCAAAATTTCTAGTTTTCTTTCAAATGCAAATAACAAATGTACTTTCAAAATGCTTATTAACATATGTATGTACCCAATGTACACCGGTTTAAAAAAACAACAAAAAAACAGGTGGTGTAATGGAATGGCACTTGACAAGCATGCAGTGTTCCTCTTTGTCTGAAGCAAACTGCTGCATGTATGGAGAGATTCATATATTACTTGATACTGGTGTTCACCAACATGAGGTATTGTGTTCAAGCATGAACCAGATCTCTAGGTCAAAGTCACATTTAGAGGTCAGAGGAAAATGCTTGTTCAAAGCAAACATACATGCATTGAGAGATTTAAATTAAAAAATGGCACAAATTTTCACCAGTTTGTGGCATACAAAATTTAGGTCCATGTGGCAATGGTCAGTGTCACATGGTCAAGGTCAGATGTACAAAATTTAGGTCCATGTGGCAATGGTCAGTGTCACATGGTCAAGGTCAGATGAAAATAAAAAAATGTGTGTATGGACGATATTATGGTCTTGAATTCAGGGTTTATATCACCAGTGTTAACAATGTGGAAACTGAGTATTGTCAGTATAATTAAGGTCAATAAATGCAAGGTCAGGGTCACCAGAGAAAATTTAAATGTAAACATTTTGTGATACATTTAAAATTTCCATACTTAAAAATGAGATATTTTTGAAATGAGAACAAGGATAAATGTTGCAAAATAGAAGCTTGCAGTTAACAAGTAGGAGAACTGAGTGAAAAGTTCAGTTGGAATATTTTCTGGAAATTTTATTTCATGGATGTATTGCATGGTATTCCTAAGTGAAGAAGAAATGATTGGTGATAATTCTATGTATGGGGTTTTATAAATTTATGACAGACCATTATGCTATAGGTGACTCACATATTTATTGATTTAGTTTAAAGATACATGTACATTCAAGGATCAGCTAGCCCAGAATTTATGGAAGAAGTGACTTCTCCTTCAAGATATTGTCTGCTTTTAATATCAAACTGCAACCACTACAAGAGATATCAACAAGAAACTACTTCTCTGTGTCTCAAACCTATGCAGGGAGAATCACCCGGTTCAACTTGCTTTGATATTTCTTGTTTGATATATTCTGTTTGTCAATATGTTTTGTTATGAAGTATTGTTAATATGAAGAAATATAATTGTAAATGTTATAATAGAAAATATAAACATGTTGAATTTTATTTATGACAGCATTAGAAATGAAGATGTAAAGTTAATAATGATTTATATATTACAGTATCAAGCCAAATTACGTATATCAGCTGCAGAAGGCACCAGACATGCTTTCTTTAACTCTATGGGACCCAGTGTAAATAGATTACCAGATAGTAAGTTGTCTTTATTTTATCTCCATTGCTCAATTCAAATTTAGTTATTTCTTAACCAAGTAATTGGTGAAACAAGGTTAATTGCGCCTTGTCTTCTCTGTTTAAAGGACTAGTTGTACTTGTGTTCATACTGCACTGACCAATACCGATGTGTAACTTGAAAATGACTTGTTGTTTTAGTCTAGTGGTGATGTAAACTTAAGGGCAACTGTTGTCATATAATGGTCATATAATTTACAATAACTGTTGAAATCACCTGTTGACTGAATCATTGTTATATTTGAATTACCTTTCCTGGTTTCAAATCAGGAATTCCCATCTGTAAGACCCTAGACATAGAGACAGTCATTTGAAGCAATCAACCAGCATTTTTGTTACTGATTTACATTAACTCGCACTAAAATTCATCTTTGTTTGAAATATAATATTGCATGAATCATTTTCATAAAGATTTCATGGACTTTATATATGTAATTTTTAGCAGTTATGAGATATCGTAAAAGGGTTTGTGAACTGCGAAAAGGTTCATGAACTTCAAATGTATTGTTTAATTAAACTTGTTTACAAGTCCTCTATATACTTTCAAACACATCAATACAATATATTTGAAAATAACAATTCTGTGAAAATAACAAATAACAATGAGTACGTGACCTGGCGCCAATAACACAACAATGATATTTGTGTTGTCTCAAAATAAAAACAAAATGTCTCCAGCATCGTTCTCTTCAGAGTGTTCTATGCCTTTGAACTATGTTTGTTGTGGTAACCGTAGAATGAAGCCAGTCACCCTTGTGCTACCATCCTCCTCAGAAATGTATTTGAGTCAGCTATTCTCCTCTCAACATTGGTTTAAATTAAAATATAGTGTAAAAATTTCAACTGCACCAATGTTGCATTGTCATGGTTATTAAAGCACATAATTCATGAAGGAAATGCAAATTCTCGATAGAATTAAAACTCACTTCAAGAAATAAAAACACACTTTCAATCAATATCAGTTAAGTTTGAACACTTGTGTTGTATAATTATCATTGTGAAAGTCATATTAGCACCAGATATTGAATATAGGTAGGAAAAATGATGAAATAATACAGAACTTGCTGTATAGGTAAATTGTACTTATATTTCAAACCTTCATTAACTGCATAAATTTACTTGAAATTTTCCTGACGATGGTCATTGCACTTTTACTTCTATTTTAAGTTATTTATTTGAACATGTTTACAGTTTTGATTAAATATTGAAAGTAAATATTTGTTTACAATTAGAAATAAAAGTTAATTTCCTGTTGTTGCTTTTAAGGGATAAACAAATAAGTACTATATTTGTTACAATATTACTGTATGATCTACGTAAACAATTATCTAATTGTTATATATAAATTCTATACTTACAGCAGTGTCAATATTTACTATACCAGGAATAGCTTTACATAGAGACCCTGGTATGAGATCGTCCTCTCTCAGCACATCAGGTATGCCCTCACATAACTTTATTTATTGTTTCTATATAGAATGACTACATGACACCAGGAGTCTAAGATAGCTTACTGCCAGTTTGTTGTTGTTAGAAGTCCATGAGATATTATGATTTATGTGTCTTGGTGCTATATAGCTTTTAACCTATAGCTCTTCAGCGCTTCTTATGTAAAATTCTTCCAAGTATAATTTCCAATAACCGTAAATTATACCATACCCAGACTATGGTATAATTTTCAGTTTTGAAGATCGAAGGAGTAAGTGTTTCTTGGCGGAGCTATAGGTTAAAACAGATACACCATTGGTGCGTTGACGATTTCTGGGTTTGCGTAAAGTGACCTTTCTTATGCAACCTCACTCGACTTCGTCTCGTGAGGTTCAGGCATAAGAAAGGTCACGTGATTATGGTATAATTTACGCAAACCCAGAAATCGTCAACGCAGCAATGGTATATCTATTACTTATGCTGAAATTTGTTTTTGACCAAATAAAGCTCATGTATTATAATATACAATTGTCTAGTACAACTAAGATACAAACTGCCATTTCTGCTAAATGAAATATAAAGTCAAATATCATCATCGTCCTTTTTCTGTCTTTTATGAAAAACTTGGTAAATAAATGAACATTTGAGTGATATATGCCAACCCAAATTCAATACATGACCACATATTTCCTACTATTTCAAAGCATTTAATTCATCAAGTAAGTATGATATGGTGTGAAATCATTTAATACTCAGGGAAAGCTGGAAAGACTAAATATTAGACTGAAAAGCTTCCAAAAACAATACTTCAAGTTTTAGTGACAATATTGATATAACTTCATTTACTTAAAAAAATGTCATGTCTCAGAATTAACATTTAATGAAAAAAATTTTTATCAGAAAAGGGAAAAATGTAAATGATTAATTTGAAAAGGCCCGTGTGATATCAAATGATTTGAAAAGGCCCCTATAATGTTACATGATTTGAGAAGGCCTCTGTAAAATTAAATGATTTTAGAAGGTCCCTATGATATTAAATGATTTGAGACGTTCTCTGGAACATAAATTATTTAAATGATTGGAGAAAGTCCCTATGATATTTAATTATCTGAGAAAGTCCCTATGATATTAAATGATTTGAGATGATCCCTGTGATATTAAATGATTTGAGATGATCCCTGTGATATTAAGTGATTTCAGGAGTTGTTTGTTGCTTGAAGTGACCTAAGATTTCATGCTGTATTAATAACATATATAATCACAAAATTTGACACTGCCAGTGGTAAATGTTCCTCAAGACATATAATCTTTGCTATAATAATCAGTATATATTGTGGCCATCTCCTTTAATGAATTCTGTATATATATAAAAATATGCATCCATGTCAGTCAACAAAAGCATGGCTTTAACACATCTTCATGCTTTTCCTTCAAGCTTGATTTTTCTTTTTAATTAAATTACCTTATAGAGTATCTAGCAGATTTTATTTTCAAAATTGCCTATTTTATTATTTAATGTAGATAAATTTTAAGTTGATAAACTGATAATGCAATATTGATGAAATTCCAAACCATTGTATAAAACAATTTAATATAAAAATCAAAATTTAAGAAAATGATATTTGTTCTTTTACTTTTACAAACATGCCATGTACATGAACAGCAAAAGTTATATTCTCATAACACAAACATGCCATGCACATGAACAGCAAAAGTTATATTCTCATAACACAAAAATGCCATGTACATGAACAGCAAAAGTTATATTCTCATAACACAGATATGTACATGAACAGCAAAAGTTATATTCTCATAACACAAAAATGCCATGTACATGAACAGCAAAAATTATATTCTCATAACACAAACATGTACATGAACAGCAAAAATTATAATCTCATAACACAAACATGCCATGTACATGAACAGCAAAAGTTATACAAAATGTATTCTCATAACACAAACATGCCATGTACATGAACAGCAAAAGTTATATTCTCATAACACAAACATGCCATGTACTTGAACAGCAAAAATTATATTCTCATAACACAAACATGTACATGAACAGCAAAAGTTATATTCTCATAACACAAACATGCCATGTACATGAACAGCAAAAATTATATTCTCATAACACAGACATGTACATGAACAGCAAAAGTTATATTCTCATAACACAAACATGCCATGTACATGAACAGCAAAAGTTATATTCTCATAACACAAACATGTACATGAACAGCAAAAGTTATATTCTCATAACACAAACATGCCATGTACATGAACAGCAAAAGTTATATTCTCATAACACAGACATGCCATGTACATGAACAGCAAAAGTTATATTCTCATAACACAGACATGTACATGGACAGCAAAAGTTATATTCTCATAACACAAACATGCCATGCCATGAACAGCAAAAGTTATATTCTCATAACACAGACATGCCATGTACATGAACAGCAAAAGTTATATTCTCATAACACAAATATCCAATGTACATGAACAGCAAAAGTTATATTCTCATAACACAAATATCCAATGTACATGAACAGCAAAAGTTATATTCTCATAACACAAACATGCCATGCCATGAACAGCAAAAGTTATATTCTCATAACACAAACATGCCATGCCATGAACAGCAAAAGTTATATTCTCATAACACAAACATGCCATGTACATGAACAGCAAAAGTTACATGCTCATTACACAAAAATGCCATGTACATGAACAGCAAAAGTTATATGCTCATAACACAAATATGCCATGTACATGAACAGCAAAAATTATATGCTCATAAATGCCACGAACAGCAAAAATTATATTCTCATAAAACAAACATGCCATGCCATGAACAGCAAAAATTATATTCTCATAACACAAACATGCCATGCCATGAACAGCAAAAGTTATATTCTCATAACACAAACATGCCATGTACATGAACAGCAAAAGTTATATTCTCATAACACAAATATCCAATGTACATGAACAGCAAAAGTTATATTCTCATAACACAAATATCCAATGTACATGAACAGCAAAAGTTATATTCTCATAACACAAACATGCCATGCCATGAACAGCAAAAGTTATATTCTCATAACACAAACATGCCATGTACATGAACAGCAAAAATTATATTCTCATAACATGAACATGCCATGTACATGAACAGCAAAAGTTATATTCTCATAACACAAACATGCCATGTACATGAACAGCAAAAGTTATATTTTCATAACACAGACATGCCGTGCACATGAACAGCAAAAATTATATTCTCATAACACAAACATGCCATGCCATGAACAGCAAAAGTTATGTTGTGGTATCAAAACATTAACAACTGATATATGATATATTTAATTCTAGTGCAAAATCAAACTACATCAGCACATACAGTATTTCTTCTGTTCATTCAGTATGTAGTCCATGTCAATGTTGTTTGCTGTCAATGAATCATGCACATATTTTACTGTAAAACAAATTGTTCACCTTGCAATTCTGCTGTATGTATAGCCTTTATGAATGCATATTAAGGGTTGATTCTTTTCATATCTTATGAATTCCACTGGACTTTGTTAAATTTGATATTGGATTGCAAGTGTCTGATTCAATTTAACTCCACTTTTTTCTTTACTGTCATGACGTGCTTGTCAACATTTGTTAGCCTTTTCCTAAAGATCCATCCTCTAAGAACTATCATGTTTTAACTGAAAGTCATTTTTTGCTTAATTATTTTCTGTTTTTACTTAGAATATTTGCTTTTTCTCAAAGAGTGTCAAAAGTATTCATTTTTAACTTGAAACATGGTTGTCTATCACAGACAGGTTTATCAGAATTGATATGCCCTCTTTTGAATTTTACTGTCATTTTATAATCCAGCACTGAGAAAAGAGAAAAGTGAAGCATGCTGTCCAGGGACAGCTCTAGTTAGACAATGAGTTTACTGTAATTTATTTTATCATATTAGTTTTGAAAAATATTTAAATACTAAAGCTATATGTACTTTTTGTTATTCCAATGAAAATGGAGAACATGTTTTCACTGTGTGGACTTTAATTCGGATATGATAAAATAAAAATGTACAAAAATAACCCACCCTATATTCTGATGCAACATTTTATTTAAAGTTCTGTAGTTTTATTCAATGGTATAAGAATACAAATTTTTCTCCTGTGTGTTATTGAGATTTTAAAATATACTACTTAGTCTGTCTCTATTCCTTTATACAGACATTGCATAGTGAGTAATTTAAAAAGTAATTATTTACAATCAAGGTCTACATATCAGCTGCGTCACGACAAAACCAACATAGTGCGTTTGCGACCAGCATGGATCCAGACCAGCCTGAGCATCTGCGCAGTCTGATCAGGATCCCTTGTAATAGGGTTGATAAGGCAACAGCATGGATCCTGATCAGACTGCGCAGATGCGCAGGCTGGTCTGGATCCATGCTGGTCGCAAACACAATATGTTGGTTTTGTCGTGACATGGCTCATATTATTTTTCTTTATGTCTGTGTAATGATTAAACTAGCATTGTTGTAAATTATCTGTTTTCTCTCGTTACTTTCAGGTAAAATTCGTCGACAGAGTATGCTGTTCTAAAGAAGACATGACTGTCTCACTTCAATTCATATTGATAACATTATGTGTAGTCATATTTGCTATAAGGGGCCTTATTTGAGGGGCATTATACGACCCCTTGAATGGGGTCAAAAATTGACCCTTCTTGTTATGTGATAGTGCTGTTTGTAGGTCCCAAATATGGGCAAATTGTAAACTGTGTAAACATCAGATGAAATATATGTTTGAATGTAGCCCTCAAGCTTGAGGTAAGCCTGTATGATTTCAGATCAGATTTCAGCATAGTAGGTCCGAGGTCAGATTAACCTCATGTTTTAAGCTCAGTCTCTCTGATATAGAGGTCAGCTTCTAATATTTAAAGGGTGGTCTCTAATGTATATAGGGCGGCCTCTAGTGTATATAGGGCGGCCTCTGGTGTATAGAGGGGGACCTCATATGAGAGATCAGACTCGTATGTTTTGTTGTCAACCTCAGATTTTATAGGCCAGCTTAGAGTATTGAGGGTGAGAGATTGCAGAAGGAATGAAGATGGACGCCCTGGTGCTTGGGTCCAATCACTTTTAGAAAATGGATAGAATGCATGGTCATTGTTAATTTCTCCTTTTACCTTTCTAATATACAGCCGAATATGTACTCTATGACCTCTTCTAAAGAATAATAAGTCAAGAAAAACTTTCTGATTTTTACAACACTTCCATTTCATATAACATTACGAAATGCAAATTTACAATCCACCTATATCATTAAATTTTATGTCTTGAACTTCAGTAATGTTATTTTGATATATGTAAGTATACTAGTATATATATATAGGTTTTAATGTGGTCTTCACCTGAAGGTTTGACCATAATGGACATAGAGAACATCAGATAATAATCTTTGCATATCATTTGTGTTAATTCTTGTAAATATATCAGAAACTCAGAATTTTTGTTTTTTAATGTTTGAACATAAGTTGGAGAATGTTTACACTGTAAATAATGATTACTCATGATTTAAAAGGCAAAAAGGCGCATATATTCAAGGTGTAGAAACAGATAATCAAAAATGTTTTGTTGTCTTGTGTATTTTTTTGTCTGATGATGCAGCTAAAGTTTTTATTAAATCATCTCTGTCATTGACAATAACAGAAGACATTATATTTTAAGTTGTACAAATTGTGGACGTTTATGTTAAAGCTTTTTATTCTGAAAACACAAACAAATCTTAATGAGAACATAATATTAAACTGTTGACAGACAGGCTAGTCTGTTACATGTCTTTCCTAGTGTTAAAAGTCACATCAAACTTGTAGGAAAGGAAAACCAATAAGTATTCATATACTGAGAATGGTTTATACCTCATCAGACCACATCATCATAATCAAATGTTGGAATTGTTACAAAATTTAAAAATGCATCAAGTTTTTTGGGGGGTTTTCTTTTTGTCTTGATTACAAAATAGGTTGTGCCTTTCAAAACTTTAACTTTGATTACCGATATGAGTATGACATTTGGCAAAATTATAATTTTGGAAAATGAGGGCTCATTCCTTTAATTGTCATGTTGAAATTGTGATAATGATTACATGGAAATAAGGGCAATAACTCTGAATTTCCAGAATTAAGGGGAATATCTTTCAAAAAAAAATTGTATCATATAAAAATCATTTAATGGATGATTTATAAAACATTTTTGTAACAATGTCATAAGTAAAGATAATGTCTGCAGTACCGGAGTTTTGTTTAAATTATGACTATATATGTTTCATGGTGTTTTTTTTATAACACTCTTTAAAAAATCATTTATCAAAAGTAAAGCAATTTGATAAAAAAAGTAAAGTTCACATAAATCTATGTAGATAGCAACGTCATACACATTGCATTTATGTTTTTCTCTCTCCATTTAACTTAAAGGATAATCATAATCTAAACATTGTTAAATGGCCAGGAATAACCATGATTACATGTGACTGTTTTGTATCGTGAAAACACGTGATATAAAATATGTGTCCTATTGTATCTTATGTATAATTTGTAGTGTACAGAGGTGAAGAAAATCAACATTTTAAGATATTTTATGTACATAGTTCTATAAGAAATACAACTTGCTTTATTTATATGTGTATTTATGTATTATTTACAGCTTTTTTTTGTTGATTTTGTTTTTGTTTGCTCGCATATTTTTGTACATTAATTGTTTATTATTTATACGTAGATTATTATTGGAGGAAAAATTCTGCTTTTTAGACAGATTTTTAATTTTGAGGAAAATTTTTATCAGAATAATGATAATTTTGACACTAGATTTTGTGACTGAGATTATGTCTATAACAATGTTTGCATTAGAGATTGTTTTAGACTTACGAGGCTAAATTAGGCATGTTGATATTATATGTAATGTGTCATTGCCTATTTCTTTATGATATTATAAAATAAAGGTGACAACACATTAATATTTGATTAAATTGTGAACATGTTTAAACTTTAGGACTTAATAAAAACAAACCAAACATTTTACAGTGAAAACTACTTTCTTTGTTCTACCTTTAATCTATTTTATTTTCTATTTCGTAAAGTTTGCGTGATTATGATTCTTTTGAAAATTCATAATCTGTAGGTAGAATAATGTAATAAAAAGTTAGAGTTGAGCTAGTTTTATTTATGTTAATGGTCTTATGTTTTTCATAAAAAATAGGGCATTTAATGTGACCCACGGTGCTAGCTACCCTAAATGACCTTGACCTCAAATCTAATGTTATAAAATTATAGGGGTTCAACTGAGGTTTTTTGACATGATGGGACCTGACATTATTTTTGAGATAAATGTTCCATTTGATGTATGTCTATATGAATAACCTGTGTGGAAAATTTCAGAATATTCGCTCACTCCTTTTTCCAAGATAATAATTCTAATTGAAAAATGACCTAAATTTGAAATGACTAGCGATGCTTTTAACTAAAATCGGGATAAATATAGCGCAAAAATATGATTTTCAATTTATTTCTTAGTAAATTTTTTAATTATCTTTTGCAGATCATTCTGTTTTAAGTGTCCTGACTGATTAATGTAGGGATATTCAAATTTTTAAGATTTTGGACCTCGGTTGAGTTTCTTTGAAGGAAAATACCTAATGTTAAATTGTAGGTGTAACATTGGTTAATTCCTATGTTAATTGTGGCCAATGATAGAGCTTCATTTCAATCTCAGTCAAACTATCTCAGACATCAATCTGAAATTTTTAACTTAGATACAGCTTTCCTAAGTAGCCCATATTTTGTGATAATTTTTATAAATGTATGTTTGTTTTTGAGATTTTTTCTTTATACAAGCTTTCTATAAAGACAATGTCATGAATATTTACAATATCTGCAGGGTACTTGCAATCATGTTAACATATTTTTAATTTTTTTGCCATCAAAATGCTGGTTATTTCATTATGGATACTAGGATTTTTAACTACATATAGTATGATATATAGAGGGTTAAATAAATGTGAAAATTCTGTCAATCACACTGTCATGCTGTTTTCTTTCTTTTTTTCTATTTTGTAATAATCGAGTCCATTATTATTACAAAAATAATTTAACACTGTTGTCATTGTGCAGGGAACAGTATGGGTTTCAGATAAGTAGAAATATAATCCTGGTTTTGTTTGCTCATGACTTACATGTATATTGGAAGGAGTGGAAACTCAGTACTGAGCTACATGTAATATGTTGTTGTACAGATGTTCACTGAGTCACCATCAAATCAATGAAAATAAATTCAAGATGGCAGAGATCGTCTTGAAGATATTGTGTCCTGATTGTGACATTATAGAAGCTTATTTTAATTATTTATATATAGACATACAGATTTATTATCATACTATTGATTTGAGCTATAACATTACTACTACCTTACAGTAAGTCAGGAGAACATCACAACATTAGGTTTAAAAGTAGCCATTTTCATGAAAAATTATCCACTATACAGGTAAACACACAACAACGTATTTCAACATTTTGCATCTGAATATCAGTTTCCATTCCATTCAATAAAAGTCATAATTTGTTTTGAAAGAGGAAAAAAACATAGCCCTTATTTTGTTTTAAATCAGAACTATTGCAGGCTGTGATTTTGTAAGAAAATAATTGGCATTATAATTATTAGAATCTAAATTTGAAAATCACACAGTATTGTATAATTCTTAACATCAGATCAAAATACAAAACTTTCAGCAACTTTGTGGTTTTATGGATATATTTCATTTTAAAAAACATAGTTGCTAATATAGTTGCTAATTAATGAACAAACATGTGATTTTGATTGCACTAAGTGTACATTTATTTAACTATACAAGTGTATAGCCAAATCTTCATTATTGATTAGTACAAATTTTTTAAATTACAAGTTACTAACATAAGTTAAAAGTTTATTAAGTTTATGTGTGTCTGTACTCTAGTGCTTGAGAGTACCTGGTACAGATGGACTCCTGTTAACCCTTAAACTTGACTGAACTTACCCATGTGACCAGTGCAGACCATGAGCAGCCTGCATATATGTGCCGTCTGAACATGGTCTGCACTGGTCACTGATCAGTCAGTACATACAATATATTTTGAAATTCACCCTAAAAATAACAAATGGTTTAGTCCAGATTGAAAGATGGACTACTCCATTTAATAGATTTATTATGGTTAAAATTTAAATTAAAAATCAACTACATGTGCATTATGTATGTACAATGTACGTAGATTTAGAAATCTTATAGCTGTGTATACATCTGAAAACAAAACTTTTTCACATTTGCTATATATATCAGTATATTATAATACTGGACGTTTGTAACGTCATTTTTCATTGGATAATCGTAACGTTTATATAGTTTTATATACACGGCTGCTGTCGATTCATGAAGAAATTTTTACTCTTTTTCTCTGCTGTATTATAAATTCGTTATAAAGATTGTTGACAGGTTATATGACCATATATAAACGGCTGTTTGCAATATAACCCTCGCCTAGCGGCTCAGGTTATAGTTACAAACAGCCGTTTATATATGGCCATATAACCTGTCAACAATCTTTATAACTAATAATATATGGTTAATTAGTTTAACTTATTAAGGTAAAGTACAAAAGTATTTATATAACAGATTATTTTGAATTCCTCTTGTATATATCATAAACATGTTATAACATACTTTATTGTATAGAAAACAAGTTTTGACAATCTATAAGTGATTTTTTATGACCTGTGCTTTATGATAATTTTATACTTGTATTTTGAAAGTGCTGAATTTATTTGAGAAAATGGAGGGATAGAAACTTTAAGATGCGGTTTCAGGCTGTAATATTCCAGTTATTTGTTGTTTTTTGTAGCTTGTTTACTTAGAAAGCTTTATGTTGTTACAACATATTATTATTTATGACAATAGAAATTAGCTTTATTTGCGCCCGTTGCGTAGATACCAAAAGAAAACGGTAATTGATCCAAAAATGTTATGGACAAATATATTGATGTTTTTTTATATCATGTTTATGTTCAGTCAATATCTGTTTTGCTTATTACAAGAAGTAGCGACTATATTGACCTGTAGACAGGCTCATGTCTTCATCCGTTTTCTTTGATCCTGTCATTATATAGTTCAGTTTTTGAAATATTTGAAAATTTTAAATACAAACAAGATTACTGGTATATGTATTCTACGTACAAACCTGAAGAATTACAATACTTGAAATAGTTAAGGATCTTGTCAGAGTTCACATTTTATTGAGTGTTTAGTTTATAGGTTTGAATTACTTAAGGATTTATGAGCCTGCTTTATGGTTTACATGACAAGAAACTTCTGTCTAAATTATACACCTGGTTAATGTCTTAAAAGAAAGTCTTTTTTTCTGGTTATTTGTGTGAAACACATATACTTAAGCCATACTGCAAGTTATGAACATAGACTGTGTAACTGTTTATTGGCTCACTTTTTAGAACAGGCACAATGTATTCATTTGTTTAATATTTAGTATTCACACTATGATTGTATTTAACTTATAGATAAGGTAACTTATATAAGCTATCCAAAATCATAGATAAACCAATGTTCTGTTATTGTATAATGTCCCAAGCTACTGTCATTTTCTGTTAAATTTCCCTGCTACTGTAAAATTTGGATATACCCTGCCTTTTATATTCACCACTTGTCCCATGGATAGCTAGCTTCATTTATATCAGACTTAATAATAACAAAAATATAGATCAGTGTCATGGGAACTGATAATAAGATTTTTATAAGTTAAATATGGCACCTCTCTCAATCCAACTCGACTCTGACACTTGTTTTTGCTTCTACTGCACTATTTACGTTATACCTGTAACAATTATTAATATGGTCTCACCTGGACATTTACAGAAAATTAGAGTAGCTAATATTATATGTTATGTAATGATGTTGTTATATGATTATTTTCCTGCAAATTGTTTTGTAATAAATTTTTACAAAAGAGAGGGGAGTTGTATTACAAGTTTAAAGAGCTAGTTGTCATGGTGAGGATTTCATGAATGCAGCGCGTCTAAATCATGTCAACAAAATATTTAGTTTATGAGACAATGTAGATCATTGTGTCCATAAAGTGTCTACATGATGTAGGTAATCTTGAAAGTGTCTACATGATGTAAGTAATCTTTAAAGTGTCTACATGATGTAGGTAATCTTTAAAGGGTCTACATGATGTAGGTAATCTTTAAAGTGTCTACATGATGTAGGTAATCTTTAAAGTGTCTACATGATGTAGGTAATCTTTAAAGTGTCTACAGGATGTAGGTTATCTTTAAAGTGTCTACACGATGTAGGTTATCTTTAAAGTGTCTACACGATGTAGGTAATATTTAAAGTGTCTACACGATGTAGGTAATCTTTAAAGTGTCTACACGATGTAGGTAATCTTTAAAGTGTCTACATGATGTAGGTAATCTTTAAAGTGTCTACACGATGTAGGTAATCTTTAAAGTGTCTACATGATGTAGGTAATCTTAAAAGTGTCTACACGATGTAGGTAATCTTTAAAGTGTCTACACGATGTAGGTAATCTTTAAAGTGTCTATATGAAGTAAAGATTTGTGCCATTTGTATATTATATCATTTTTTTCTGATAACAAAGAACGGAAGAAAGACTGTCATATCATATTTTTTTCTAGTATTTTTGTGCTCATGTCTCACAGATTGTCAGAAAGGGTACACAGAGTGTTCCCAACACTGTATTCATGATTCAATAAATAATCTGTAATAACACAATAACAATTTGTTGTTTTCCTTCTTATTGTCCACATGGATACAGATTTACATTAGAATTTCTCCATGGAAGTTTAAGACATTTACCAACTTTCATGTATGATTATACATCTAAAAAGAATATTATCTCAACATAAGTTTTATTGTATATGGAATAAAACAAGGGACTTTGATATTGTTATCCTCTGTTGTAAGATACAAATTACTTTACTGAAGTATTGAAGTAATCTGGAGTTACAGCTGAATTTGGTATCGTGACTTGCAAAATTATTTCCCTACAAATAGAAATAGAGTCAAACAGCTCTAATAGTAAATATCCTTGTAGATGTTGTTTAAACAAATTGTGGATAATGACAAACAACGGACAACTTGCCATCCTTAAAGATCTCCTCTGAGAACTTTGTTATGCAAAAACAATAACAAATAAGACTAAAATAGAAATTATTTATTGAACATTAATATAACATTGGAAAACATGCTCACATCATTTAACAAATACCAACTGACAATCATTCCATTAAAATAAATAAAAAAACACAGTAAAAACGTTTACAATATTACAAATTACACGAGACAGACTCTAGTCTCCATAGCTTGTATTCTAAAAAATAGAAAAATTCCTAAGATGTTAAAAATGGGTAAAAGCCAAATTTATTAAATGAATTAGCTACAAAAATGGTCAGGTTTTTGAAATACATTGTATAGGTACCCCCTATCCATTTTCGGAAAATAACTAGGAAGAAGCTGTGTAATTTTCAGAAATAAAATGTTGCATTGTTTAAAATTCTCTCAAGAACTATGAAAATATCGTGGAAAAGTTTACTTTATACCTAATAAAAATAGTGAGTTGTAGTAACTATAAAGTTTACTTGGAACAAGAAATGGTTGTCGGTGTTGTGAAAGGGAAATATTATTCACTAAAATCATTATGTAAAAATCACCTTCAAAAGTTCATTATTTCTGTGGGTGTAATTTTTGTAAGATATCCCTATAGTCAGTCTAAATTCTAAAATCATGAGTGTATTTTTTTTATGAAATAAATGTCAAAATCATGTCATGGCTACAGGATTGCCTAAATTTCCATATCCCATTAAAGTAAATATTCCCAGAGTAAAAAGATTAAAAAGTATAATAAGAATAAACACAGAGGTAATAAAAATAATAGAGGAGAGTTGAGCTATTAAAATGCTGAGCTTTATAAGAACAACAATAAAGATATGTAAAATGATGAACCATCTCCAAATTGAATGCTGCATGAAATAAAATACTTTGGAAAGATAAATAAGGACGATACCTGATATAAGTGTTATACTGAAAACATGAGGAAGAAACCTGGAGGGAGGGAGACTGATTTGGAAGAGGAAAATAACAAGACAAAAATACAGTGTAAATACTGCGCAATTACCTTACAAAAATAGGCTATTTTGATCTTCATCTTAAGCAAAATTGGTATCTTTAACCATCTATCAAAGAATGGATTAAAATCTGAATGAACAAGTTTGTCAAATTACCCTTAAGTTGTCCTGAGCAATTTGAGAATAATACAAAATAATTGGGCACATTGCATGATTGTTTGGTATAAAGTTCATGTACAAAATGTACAATGGGGACAATACTTGTTAATTTATACGGTAACAGGATAGGAGATCAGAGCTGGAACAGTAGAACCCATGTATAACAATGCTCCAGGTGAACCTAGAACATTATAGGAAGAAGCACTTGAAGATACATGTAGGACCTCTCAATGATGTAAAACACACAATCATACAAAATGCAGTTTTAAGATATAAAATCCTAAACAGGGTTTTTATTTTATATACAAACAGTATTGTTTTAACACTATATTTTACATTCCTAAAATGCACACTATTTATTTAAAATTCATACAGTCATGCAAAATAAAAATTGTAATATTCAAATTAATTTTCAATTAACAAAATGAAAAAAGATGATATGTTCAAAGGCAATTTTTCAAAGTATTTTTTTTTCTATATCAACATTCAATAAAGCTTCTTTAGATAAAATATTAAAATTATGTGTGTCATTAATTGAACTTGTATTGAATTTCTGAATGTTTATATATCAATTAATGTACTAACATAAACCAGGTAATCATAAAGTCTGTCCGAAACTGGACATGTTGAAATAGATACATTACTAATGCTACAAGCTTTCTAATGTAAGAGTTTTGTCTAATGTGAGCATTTAACATAGACAGGAATGTATTAATTATACATGTACTAGTAACAAAAATAAAATAAAAATAAACTACAAGAATGTAAAAGTAAGGAGCCTCAAATGATTTTCATGGTTAACCTCAAATTTATCATGATGAGCTCAACTCAAGCTATTGAAACAATCTATTTCTTTACATGTGATGAATTAAAAGTATGGAAATATTGTTGCGAAAAGTAAGTTATTTCTGTATACATTAACTTTACTTCAAACTTCAGTAAAATGAAAGAGGTTACTACCTGTAATTCCTCTGTAAAAAGAAAGAAAGAAAAAAACCTGTCCTAAAATTATTCTGTATGATAGCACTATTGGCAACTTTCAAGTTAAAACATACAGGTTTTTGTTAATTTTGTATATACCACATCGTCGAATACCCATGTTCGATTAACATGTACTCAACAGTGGGTAAAATGAATCAAATTTGGTCGATATACAGCAACAGGTGCATAAAATATCAACCAATGAAATCCTGTTTAGCAAATTTTTTATTCTTCTACTGCAAAGGTAAACAACTATCAGAAACAAAATAGCAGCGCACATGGTGTAATCCTGTTTCATGTGTCTTGCCAATATTGAAGGCAAACTATCCCAAACTTAATTATTCCACAAGCAATGACCACAATAGTAATATTTTTTCAAGACAAATGTCGTATAGAATGAGCGTTTTGATTGGTATTAATCGCCTCTTATCGACTGGATATCAGTGAAAAACCCCACAGCTGATAAATGTTAAATGGTTCGGTCGTGGGTATCCAACAATGTGTATAACAGATATGTACTCAACCATAACTTAATTAGAGGTAGCTTACAACAACAACAACAAAGTGACAATAATATAAGCATCTCAAATGCAGACATTAAAATATCCTAAATAATTCACAAAATACAGTTAATAGAAATTTCACTACAAAAGATATCATGTGCCAATCATGTTAGATAATCACAGAGAACAAGTGTGTGAAGTTTCAATCCATTCCCAGCAGTAGTTATGGAGATACCAGCTTACACGCAAAAACTTAACCACAGGGAAGCCGAAGCTGACAAATGGCTGACTGCATTATTCTATTCTGCGAATAGTCAAGCTAAAAATAAGCATTGAGACCCAACTTGTTTTAATCCCCTAGCTTTAATCCCTTGATTTTTTTTCTTCCTAACATTATAATTTCTAAATGTTCGGTTTCAGTTTGAATTTATTTACTCTTGTGTTAGTATTTAAGTACTTACATTTAACAAAGTTAAGTCACACAAAATGTTTAAAATGGAAGAGAGTTTACAACAAAAATAAAGAGAGCATGGCCATTTTATTTCTTACTCTAGGATAATAATATAAAGAACATAAAAAGTATTAAATAACAAATAAGTCTGATAATACTAAGTGTCAACTGATATCAAATTACCCTTATAAATATCTCAGATATAATATCTAGTTGGACTATAAAATATCAAATTATAACAGAATTATAACAGAACTCCAGGCATTTAATCTGTAACTTTCATCACTGTTCATTTCGTACACAAAACTCCATAACTTTATTTCTAAAAATCATTAAAAAAATCAAATATACTTCACCCCCTACCACTAATATACTGAATACACAGATAAGTCTCTAAATATTGTAAATGCAGTATTGTTTACCTGTTTTCTAAAATAAACAACAATGGAACAACAACAATACACAAGTAGTTGCAAAAATCAACAATTTGTAAGACAGCAGCACCAGTCAGAGAATAATAAAAACTGGAATTTGTTTTAGTCCCTATCCTTACTAGTACCTCTCAAATAATGATAAAAGTTCAGCCCACATGTATAATTAATTGAGCCGCATCATGACAAAACCAACATAGTGCGTTTGCGACCAGCATGGATCCAGACCAGCCTGCGCATCCGCGCAGTCTGATCAGGATCCATGCTGTTTGCTTACAAACCCTATAACAAGTAGAGAAACTGATAGCGAACAGCATGGATCCTGATCAGACTGCGCGGATGCGCAGGCTGGTCTGGATCCATGCTGGTCGCAAACAATTATGTTGGTTTTGTCGTGACACGGCTCAATTAGTTATAGGAACAAGTATAGCATGTAAAGCTAAATGGAACATCTCGGGTATGGAACATCCCAGGTATGAAACTGAAACTTGGATAAGTGATCCTAATAAAATGTTTGAATAGTTTATTTATACTGTGTTAAATCTAAAATGATAATGGTTTAAGAAATAAATCTTAAACAGGTAAAATATAAAGAAATGATTAGATATTTACATGCTTCACTAAGAGTCATGCATGTCATTAAAACATTATTTCATCAACAAAAATGCTGGGGTGTGCACAGTAAAATTTGAAAAGATTGAATGAATTCTAGCATTTTAAATGCATGTATAAAATGATGTATACAAGGAAAGAAGATTCAATTGGAAAATTCATCTGCCACGATGAAAAACTGTAACTATGTTCTCAATGTCATTCATTGGTTTAATATTCATTTTTTTATCTTGTGTCACTAGACATACAGCATGGTAAGTCAGATAAAATCATCGTAAGTATGAACACAAGTTTAAATGAATACTTTTTCTGAAACATTCTGAAAATTCTGAGCTCAAATTTAATTCCTTGTCTAATTTAAATCTCCAATGCAGACATTAAAATATTATCCTAAATAATTCACAGATTCAGGATTATCTCCCTTTGTTTCTTGTAAAGAGATCATTTCAGTGTTTCCTCCCTTTGACAATGTCTCTAGCTTATAACACTCCACTACTGTAAAGTCAATATACTTAAAAGTCAATATACCACTAGTGTACAATCTAGACTGAAATAGAAATAGTTTTCAGAACACATCAAGTTTAGAACTACATTTTACAGAACCCAGCTCAGGTGACAGAGAGGCTAATGTTTACATATATTCTAAATATCAGCTGATCAGTAAACCTAAAACAATATTATCATTATCAACTAAATAATATTTTATCTTTTAATAAAAGCGTAACAAAATCTTTAAAACAAAGTTTTAAGATTATGTGGTTTTCTGAGACAAATGCAAATTCAACCTTGGATCAACTCCATGACTTACATAATATACACTAGCAAAAGGAGGAAAAGAGAGATCATCTAAAATATTTTTTGAGACTATATACAGTTTGTATTAAAGCCAGGGAATGTATGGGTGTAAAAGACTGTGATTTATATATACATATATTTCATGTAAGCAGCCATTTCTCTTATATTCTCATAAAAGTTAACTTGTTTAACTGTTACTAACTTCCTACAATCTTTATATGTGTCTCTAACTTGACAGGCTAATTCCTGAAAATTGAAGCACTGTTGTGCTTTGTTCTTGTACCTTGACATGTTGTTACAATGTTGCATTAAAAATCTTATTGTCTTATTAACTTCTGGTGCCAAGATTTTGACTTAATATAAAAAGAATTTCATTGTAAATTTTTCTTGTCATGTTTCAATACCATGGACTACTGAATATCCGAGACAGAGTATATATAATATATGGCAAGTATTTTTAGTTTGACATTAGGACATATATACATGTATATATTACATTATAACTAGTTATCAGGCATGAGGTTGAACATTCCCAATAATTGGAAACAAGTTTCAAAAATAGATAATTTCATTAATCAATTCTGAATAAAGAGACAAAATCAACCAATGACACTACTGCATTTGAAGACTGGTTTGCAATCTGAGAGTTCAATACTAGGAGCAGAATATTTCTGCTTCTTTCACAACAAAAATTGATAAAATTCTCAAAAAAGAAATACTAAAATGCAACCACCTTGTTTAAAGCACAATACACTTACACAATATAACTGGAAAGACATTTATTCTATTTTGATCAGCCTTTATATGTCATAAAAAATGTCCATGTGTATGCTAATACATTAAAATATGTGAAACTGTAGCAATAAAAACATACACACAAATGCATCAACACTTCTACAATGGCAAGTCAGCAATTATTGATGATCATTTAATCCTGTACATTTTTAATTCATTGACACTTTTCATTTTTCCCGAAAAAATAAAGGTATAAATACCAAAAACATATAACTAAAGAAATTCTAATAATTGTTTAAACTAGATTTAACATGCTTAAAAGATAGTTTGTGAAAATCAATTAAAATGAAAAAAAAAAGTCTTAAATAATATTTCACTATATTACAAGATAATATCAATCTGAATGCCTTACATAATGTAAGTAAATTTTAAGAGGTAAACAGTTTATTTTAGCTCCCTTTATCACCTTAATATCAGTTAGTGTCAGTTATCTAATCCCTTAACCTGCAGATCTTATGCAACAAATTTTCCTAGCTATAAATTTGGAATGGTCCATTCCATATTTAAGGGATTTTAAATTTTCAATATCAAAATACAAAAACCAAACCACCAGAGCCTGGTCCAAAGGAACAGATGTGCTCTATAACAGTGGTGAAAGCTAATCCTTTCTGGTTCCAGCAGGTTAGAGATTAACAACACAAAAACAAAACCCCATCCCAAAAATACATTTCGCCTCTTTATAAATTAAACTTCTTTTTAATTGGATTCAATTCCCTCAAATTAGTATTATCAATGATGTCAAGTTAATTAAACTAATGAAAAAAGGTAAATATATTGTGGTATCATGTTATAAAAACCTAAATGAGAATCTATACAAAACATTCTAGACATTATCACTATCTTAGCATTAAAATACAAAATATCTATTATACATGAACATCCACAAAGTAAAACCACAGAAAGATTGCACATTTCAGGCAAGTTCTTGTTGTTACTCAAATAAATCTACTGTCACAATATAAACAATGTTTCATAGCCAATGGCTTTCAGACCAGTCTCTTTTTCAAACTCTGTCATTGGTCAATTTTCAAATACAAACTTTGAAAGAGCCAATAAAATGAAAGAGTTACAGACCAGTCTAAAATTAAAATTTTCATAGCCATTCAACTTTCCAATGGCAATGAATAACTTCATGTATAAATTAATTCCAAGTATTCACACTAAAACAAACATATATAAAAACCTCCTTACTCCATTTGACATGTTTCGGCTAGACGTAAAAACGTTTCAATACAAATTCTAACAAATTTTCTAGTTTACTGTTTATACAAACAAATGGATGAAAAACACTGTCAATGGTAATATTGCTTAACCAAATAAGGAGGAAAGGGAGAGACTAAAATGGGCACGATATGGCAGAAGTTCTATCGCAGATCACTGATGGCTGCCTTAGAACCGAACACGGAGATGAGTTGTTCTTCATAACCATCTATACTTCTCTTCATAATATCCATACATGGACCTAGCAGTCGTTCAAATGCTTGTACATCTAATACTGTAATATACCAACACACAAAAAATGTCAGCAAATTTTTTTTCCCATCCAATTAATCATTGTAACTTGGTACATAAAATACAAATAACAGGACATGTTAGAAATGATAAATCATTATACAGTAATATATCACAAAACATGCTGTACTATTTAAAAATTATACATGTACATGATATATAAATCATGAAAAAAGATCAATTAAAAAGACACCTTAGAGGCATTAAACTTTAATTGATGGCCTTATATCAACTTTCTTGATACATTTTGAAAACAAAATTTCATTTTTTTTTTTGTAAGAATAGCAAAATTTCTTCCTTTCAAAAAATAAAAGGCAGTTAACTGTTTTTGTTCAGCAGATATGCTCACTTTCTTTAAAATCTAGACCCAGTAAGTTATTAAACTGTTATCAAGCCTTCTCCCTACTGACATACATTATGTATCTTAGATATAGCGGATGAGATAAGAGACTTAATATACCTTAAACATTTTTTTTGATAAGGATATTATTTTATGTGAACTACTTCAATCAAAGGTCATCATTACTTTATTATCATAAATTTATTAAACATAATACTCTAGTAAGTTGTAAAGAAGGAAATGAACAATAATTCAACTCAAATCCTACTCCACAGTGTCCTGTTCTTCTTATGTCAAGTACTAAAGACATTGTTATATTGTACATAAAATCAAGATTTGTTTCACTGACACATATAAGATAATAAACAGTATGTATCAGTTTTATTTCACATTTCTATATTAACCAAGTGTAACAAAATCCTGAAATGATATTGTTTGTTTTAGGTATGTAACAAGCCTAGAAAGTTTATGTAACTATTTTCCTGGAACTGTAGAATTTGTATATTAATATAAGATTTTAACATATATCAAATATATCCAGAATTTGAACCTTTGTCTGAGATTTACGACACCATTATCAACATATTTAAGCTCCTTTGTACAACTAAGTGGCCAAGAAGTAAATATAAATCAAATGGGGTTTAGATCCAATTATTTGACTACCTTCAATTTTTTTCTCATTCTTTGTGTTAATGAACTTGTATTTCTTGAAGAATGAAGACTAAAGTTCAACTTGTGACAACAGGAAGGAAGATATTTAATTTGTTATAATATTTCATTATAGATTAAGCACTTACCTGCTAATCTAGTTTTTGTAACAGCATATACTGTAGCTGCTCTTGGCTTATGAGTTAACAAGGCAAGTTCTGAAATAGTCAAATAGTTCATTTGCTTACTAAACTAGGCTGACTAGGCTAACAATCAATCAAAATATATTTAATTAAGAAAAGTAATTTAATTACAAAACACAAACATGATGCTGTAATCATAATTGTCCTTTTTAAACAAGGACTATAGGGACTATCATTTATTATCACAAAACAATCTGATATGACCTGACTGCCATATGAGTACATGACAATTCCTAAGATAAAACCTAAACATACAACACCTTTTCTAAAGACCACAATTTTCATCTATTTTGTTAATCAAAAGAACACCGCTGCAAATTCATCTGTATTGATAGAGAAAGTAAAGTAAGGATTCTAAATTTCCTACAACTGCTCACTAGAGAAAATTTCACTTCATATCTATACTATCACAGTCAATCATACTTGTCTTCTTGTATGAGAAATAGATTTAATACCGTCCTTAATTAAACAGGTCCTTAATTCAACAACCTCAAGTTCATAAGGACCTAAAACATTCCTTACTGAAAAAAAACCAAAATTACACACAGATTTATACCATATACACCAGCTAACACCCTCAGTCCATACAGACCTTGACTGATACTCTCATTAGTGAAAGAACACTGACCCCAAACAGACCTTATATCTTCCTTAATAAAAAAACCAAAATTACATTTGGTATTGACGTGGAGACTGATACGCTCTTATTGAAACAAACCAGGGTCCAAATAGTCACCTGATTCTACCTCTTTTGTAAAAATATTCTTTCTGTGTTGCATAATACAAAATTCTCCCTCCTATGGATCCACTTGTCTAAACAAGACCTAAAGTGCCCCTTGGGAATTTAACAGATTGTTTCCTGAACAATAAACTGCAAGTTATAGACATTATCAAACCCTATGCCAAGCAGTTCTGACTTCAAGAGCAAAAGAGCCAGATATTGTAATGCTAGATCTGGGGAATATTCAGGATGCTTCATAAATTCAATTGTTTCAATTCTAGCCTCTCTCAGTGTTGTCAGAAATGTCTTGTACTGCAAAGCCTTCCATTACTTTGTAGCAACTTTTTCATTTCATCTGTTCTTCCCAACATAGTAATGTAATGTACGGATCTTTGGCAATTGCAACATCCTAGATTCCTAAAGACTTAAAATCTTAAATGCTGATTTTCATTGAAATTTTGACTTAAAGTATACATTATCAAGGAAAACTTCACTGATTTTGTTTTTGTCATCAAAACAAAACTTGTCTATAGCACAGTTCTAGTGTCATATCCATGGTTTCCACAAAATGAGGGTAATCTTAACTTTCATTGTTTACAAAAATGATGTGACAATACAGCCACTGACTTCACATATATCAAGACAAAAGAGTGAAGGAACATCATGAACATTTTAGACATTCCATCATGTTAGGATGTTATCATATGGGCACTTTGACAACTAATAAATATGTTATGTGTTTCACAATTTACCAGAGTTGACCTGCTTGACATTACTTCATGTTGCCACTGTTATCATACATTATGCATAAGTGCAACTTGTAATTTTTTTTATGGGGCACCAACAAAGTTTAGGTCATATGGCAACTTTAAAGCTTTACTGGTGAAAGAAGACCTAAGATGTCCCTGTGTACCTTATTTCAGGCACAATTGGCATCTGAGTAGTAGGTGCCACTGATGTTCTGTATTAATATTTTTGTCACATTATAAACAAAATAAATCAAAGAATAAGTGTTAAATATTTCACTCTGATAAGCTTATATATAATAAATCATGAACTTTTTCCAGACACTTACAAAACTTCCCTCATATATACCATTTTCTATGACATTACACACCTACATTCCAGGTTAACATTCATGTGAATGGAAATTTCAATAAAATACAAGTTTTAAAATACTAGTTTTCTCTTTTACTAGCTTACTTACTAACAAACCTGGTGTAAGTTATGATACAGATCTTTGGAGGGAAAAAAATAGGAAAATGTCATTACTTAGACTGCAGGATCAATGGATTTTAGCAGGGAGTGTCTGACAGGAAATAGTGTATAATCAAACTGTTACAAATTACCAGCTATATATTCAGACAAATGATTACACATCAGGCTAGAGTTTTCTACAAGAACAATCTACATATCTGGACCACAGGGACAATATTTCAATAATGAACATAGATTGAACACTTGATGAAACTGTCTAAATATACTTTGTAACACTGATTCAATTTTGCATTGAGGATAAATCAGTGAACTAGGATGATTTCTTTTCCCTAGAAATTTCAAAGTTAACTATTGCAATACAATTAAGTATACATTTGTATATGTATAATTGATAAAAACTTGCTTTTTTCAGTTTGAAGTCAATATGAAATTAGCATTGATGTCCATCTTTCACACATATTTCATTATTAATGAAGCCAATTTTTCCCAAATAAAGCTTATATGATATTTACATATCTTTCTACATAGATCATATTACTTGAGAGAAACTTTCATTGCAAATGATAGCTTTTTATCACATACTCCTAAATATTGGATAGTTATTTTAGGTCAAGATTATTTGATTGTCTGGGTCAGAACCTAATGGAACACTAGTGATACATTCAAATATTTGTAAGTGGAAGGAAACAGAAAGTAGACAGATACATCCAAACAATTGTGTCCTATTTCAGTGTTACACATAACAAATAAATGACAGCCAAGAGACTTACCCTCTTTTATTTGTGTCCCATTTTTTTCATCTCACACTTTGATGTTTATGTGCCACATTTCTAGCTCCTAATGTTATATTTAAGCACATATGGTAAGCACATGTGAACAAACACATCATCATATAACGTAACTTGATATTTAATATATTTTCGAGTTTTTACACTCTTAAGATGTGATTTGGCCAATTTAAAACAATCAATTATAGACATGTATTAGTGATTTTACCTCCGAAATAATTTCCCTTTTTACATCTCATTACCTCCATCTCATCTGAATCAGGCTCTTTCTGTAAAAATAAAATGAAGAATCTAATATCAACAATAGTACAAGACAAACATGTCACCTAAAATAATTTTGATTTCAAATAAGTGTGGTTATTCTAAGTTCACTAAGATATCACTTCAAAAAAGAAATCTATCTTGTATCATTGATCATGAATATAAATAATGTAACTAAAGAAATTTACTATGAACTTAGCACAGAGTTTGAGCCCTTTCATACTGCATAGAAGGGAACCAGATTAATCATGTCAAATTATATTTGTATATGAATATACATGTATGTATAAGCAAAATAAAATAATGCTACACATTCTGTATACTTTGTTTCAATACATATATCAAACCAATTCTCTAATATCTACAATAATTTTATAAACATTTTCCCCCAAAGAAAATATCTTCTTTCCTGTAAGCCATGCAGCTTATTGTTTATTCCTTTATTAAAGCAATTTCAGTTGAATAAATGATAACTAAGTAGCTTTTTGTCTGACCATAAGCTCTTTTTATATTTAAAGATATAATTGTTAGTATGTATCATAACAAATCTTTAAAAGTTTTAAATTTATCAACTATTCAAAAACAGTACATTTACATTTCAGAAAAACATACAAATTCTCTACGAGACATTGTAATAATACCAATGTGATAATTTAACTGATCTTAACAAAACCTTTACCTAATAATAATTTTTTTTTCAATACAATAATACAATGCATTGGCGGCTGAGAGGTCAAGGTCACACATCTCGCTAATGCTGGTTCATATTTGTACAACAAGTAAATAATTTGCATGTAATGAAGCTATCTAGCTAGCTCTATGGATGATAAAAGGGTCCATCAAACATTATATTTATGACCTCAACTCTGATACCTGGTACCAAGCTGAAATGTCACCTTCACTGTGTCTATATGATACTAATCAAACAAATTAACTTGATAGCTTTTTAAATGAATGTCTTCATGAGCCACCTCTCTCAGCAAATATTGAAAACCATTACAAAATACCTATGGACAATAAATTTGCAATATTTCTGTGTTGGTAATCAGATATTGTGTTTGTCCCACAGGAACACCATAGATATGATGTAAAATAACAAAGACTGACAGTAAAGGATGACACAGCGAAAAATACTGTAATCAATGTTTTAGATTAATATAATACTGACTATTGACCTAGTTAATGCAAATATAATACATGAACAGGTATAGTCATAAGGTGTAAAGGATATGGGTTGACAAAAGTCAAAGAAAACTAAGTCTTAATAACGCCTACATGTTAAGGCAGTGAATATAAGTTTACATATAGTTTTTTACGTACTTTTTTGTCATTTATTTATATTCTAGTAATTCCTCTAAGTAACTGTGCAATCTAGTGGACAATTGACAGTATCAAACTCATATGTGATGATACACTAAAATTACTACACTAGTTTAATTATGGTGCTGGGTGAAAACACTCTGAACTGCAATCACACTGAAGCTGTATATACCTCAAATGTAAACAATTTATATAGATCTAAAACATGAACAATGTCATTATATAAAATCATGTTTCATCAACCAGGCTGGTATGCCAAAACATCTAAACCTTTTTCGTTTATTGAAGACCAAAGTGGCAAATTAATATTACATGTACTAACAACAATTAACATTAATTTTATAATTAAATATTGACCTTACAGTTCCTTACACAACCTTTGACCTTATTTCTATCTAAATAATAACCACAAGAGCGATCAGTGATCACATGTGTCGCCTAATAATGGCCAATTTCATGTTGGGACAAGTTTTGTGACAGACGGACAGACAGACGGACAGTGCACAACTAGACTTGGTACTGATCATTCCTGTAAAGTTTGGATGAAATTGCACCAGTAGTTTATGAAGAGTAGTCCGGACAAGCTTTTGTGTATCTGGCAACACACAGAAAAAACACCTTTTTATCAAAGGGCCATAACTAGGCCAAAAATCATTCAACCGGAAAAACCCGTGCAATATGCGCAAGGACTTGAGCTACAGATCAATCCTGTAAAGTTTCATTGAAATTGCATAAGTGGTATAAGAGAAGTAGTCCGGACAAACTTTAAAAATAAAAATTATTAAAGGGCCATAACTCTGACAAAAATCATTGAACCGAAAAAAATTCTGACAATATGCACAACTAGACTTGGTATTGATCATTCCTGTAAAGTTTTGGATGAAATTGCACCAGTAGTTTATGAGGAGTAGTCCGGACAAGCTTTTTGTGTATCTGGCAACACACAGAAAAAAAACACCTTTTTTTTCAAAGGGCCATAACTCGGCCAAAAATCATTCAACCGGAAAACCCGTAACAATATGCGCAAGGACTTGAGCTACAGATCAATCCTGTAAAGTTTCATTGAAATTGCATTACTGGTATAAGAGAAGTAGTCCGGACAAACTTTAAAAATAAAAAATTATTAAAGGGCCATAACTCTGACAAAAATCATTGGACCGGAAAATGCTGACAATATGCACAACTAGACTTGGGTACTGATCATTCCTGTAAAGTTTGGATGAAATTGCACCAGTAGTTTATGAGGAGTAGTCCGGACAAGTTTTGTGACGGACAGACGGACTGACAGACGGACGGACAGACGACGGAGAAGTGATCCCTATATGTTGCCACCTACACAATAAATCAAACAACAATCAAATTTTTAATTTAAAAAAATTCATTGACCTTGATATACCTTCAGTCATTCAAATAAACTAATGCATATAATTTTACCTTTTCCCTTATATAAGCGTGTTTCGACGGCTTTTTTCCCCTCCCCCCTTTTTTGAGCCGTCAAACAGTGAAAAAATGTCCTATTTAGACCCCAAACACTGTTTTTCGTTTGAGAAATGTTGTTAAAAAAGTGACCATTTTTTCGGCGCCGTCCCATCCAAATAATACATCAGGGGGTTGCCAGAAGGGGGATGTGCCCCCTTCTGTTTGGGGGGTTTAAAAGGGGGGCGGAGTCCCCTCATCGCCAAGAAAATTTTGGGACTTGTGAGAGGCTTAAAATGACCGCGCCAGGTTGATCATAAAAGGTAACGTGTAACCAACGCTGAAAAGCCTTTGACTCTATCTCAATCCCTTGAGAAGTTGCATCACTTTGAAGTAAATTTTGATGGAAAAAATCGAGGCAAAAAAAGTGATTTTTGGCAATATAGAGATGTCCCCTCGTTGCCATGGTAACAGGAAATTGAAGACTGAGCATGTCATTACAAAGGCAATGGTCCAGTCAACATTTGTGCCAAGTTTGATTAGTATTGAAGCATTTTTCATAGTTTCATAGCAGTTTGAAATTGTTAGAGGAGGCTTTTCAGTGAAAATGGCCATTTTTCACAATATGCTCATGGGGGAAAGGGTTAACCTATATGAACTTAACAAGTTTCCATTTTTGGAGCTGTCCATTATCGAAATGAAAGTCAGTCATGGAGCATAGATGGACAAATAGGCCTGCCTCTATACAGTCAAAGGTCAAAGATTAAATCAACTAAAAGTTTCAGACAGTAGACGGTCCTTCAAATAATATTCAAAAGTTAGAACAAAAAGAAAACAAATCTACATGGAGTTAAAGATAGAAAAATCAACCAGTAAGATACATTAAAACAGACAATGATAACAGACGAAAATACAATACATGTAATAGAAAAAATAGCAGAGATATATAAAACAATATAATATATAGCTGTTATATATAAGTAAGACAGTTTGTGAAAATTCACAAAATCTCATTACAAGTATAATATTGAACAAGACAAGTTTGACAAAAATTTGTATGCACAACCAAAATATACAAAAAAACAATTACTATGACAAAGAGTTTTTTTAAATTATATTTCTGACAAGACACTGTTCTGCACTGAACAAATATATAAATCACATTTACAAGTTTGACATTTAAAGCAGAAATTTGGGGGACAAGATAAGTACAAAAATTGAAAATATTTGTGGCCTTGTAAAATTGAAAGCTTAATAAATATTTCACAGCAAATAAAAGCAAAGTCTCCAAGTCTTACATAGTTGATGTTTATTATATTTCCCACTTTGTACTGTCACAGTTGTCAACTTATAGCACAATGATTAATGAACAGTTTGTGCTGTCGACAGTTTCAACTTTCTACAACAAATCAGTAAACAGGAAACACATATTTAAGATCTAGTTAAATTGTAAAAGAATCTGTCTTCTGACAAGTAATAGATACATCAGGTACATGATGTGCTGTAAATATTTGATCAAGTGTTAGCAGGACCAAAGTCAACTAATGCTTATTGAGACATTATGTAAGTTCTTAAAGAATTTCTGAGACCCGAAACATCTAGACTAACACATCAACAGTATAAAAAGGAGCCATTATAATGTAAATATATCATCATCAAAAGAAAAGAAATAACATCAAATAGGTTGGCATGCTTGCAGCAGTGGAAAGGGTTAATGTAAAACAAAAGAAAAATTACAAAAACAAGCTAAAAAACCAGGAGTAAGCAACTCAATGCTACTGTGACATACACTCCTGAAAAAAAAACAGAAAACAAAACATAAAATCAAAATAAAATATACAAGCTAATGCTAAAATAAAA